CACGCTGCGCAAAGGCAACGGCTCAGAACCGAGATCTTTTATAGAGGTTTGCTTTATGAACGAATTTTGCTAGAAGGTTTTAGGGCTGGAAACATGTTGTTGGGGAGAACATTGGGAGAAAAAAACGATTGAATGAGGAAGGAGGGAAAAGATTGGTGAGCACACCATGGCAGGACAGATTGGAGCAGAGAAGGTGAGAAGAAAAGGGAAGATGAGAAGAAGGAGGAGGGCGAGAGAAAGAAGGAACATGAGAATGATGGATGAGACGACCAGCTGGAATGATTTCAGATGGCATGGGAAAAGGGTGGATCAGAACGCTAGGCATTGGGAAAAGGGTTCATCAGAAGATCAGTTTCACCACATACCAGTTTATTGTGGGAAGAAAGGACACCCCTCACACAAGGCCCTACCCCTGTCTAAAAATGGGAGGTGCCTCCTGTTAATCAACCCCGCCCTCTGGCCTCCATCTTGTCTTCCATTTCTTTCATCCTGCAACCCTTGCCCTCTTCCAATTTTTTCCAACCATCCAAAATCATCAAACGGTTTCCCAATAGTCTCATGAAATTGACTGCCATGGCTTCCCCATGCAGTCTCCTTCTCGCCCCAATCTTCCCAATCAAACACCCCTCACCAAGGACATCATACCCATTCCAAGTTGGAACATAACATGTAGACATCCGTTCAACCATCATTCATCATCAGGGCATCACCTCTATTAGGAGGATGTGGTCTCCAACGCCTTCAATTTCAAACTTTCTTCACTTAGTGAAAGAAAATACATCACAAACACACAAGTTCAGAATGGCACAGCCAAAAGACAATAGCAAAGTTAAAGACAAAATAAAGATCGGGGCCCGATCTGGTCAGCGGTCGGGGCCCGAAAGTCGGGGCTCGAGGGTCGGGGCCCGAGGGTCGGGGCCCGAGCGGCTGAGAGCACTTTAATAGCTTTGAGACTTGGGACTTTGTGGTTCTGACATGTTCAATCCTGATCCCTTCACTTGCAGAAATACAAGTAAATGCGTTTTACGGCAAGGTAAAAAAAAACGTCTATCCGGGAATACAAACTGCAGGATAGAATGCAAACCCATGGCCCACGCATAGAGGTTTTCCTTTCATTGTCTCTCGAGGCTAGGTCTGAATTCTCAGACATCTATCAGGCAGCGTCATCGGAGCTCAGCGTTTCTGGTGTCGGCAGGCCACTTATTACACCCCGTTCTATTATTCGGGAACCAAAAGTACTGTACTCGTTTGCTGCCCGGCCTGCCACGCTGCGCAAGAGCAACGGCTCAAATGGCTGCGGCAGGGCAGAGAAAATAAAAAATGTCCGAAAGCAACACCAAGTATAGCCAAGTGTCCCTTTTCAGTAAACTGCGTGGCGGAGAGACGTGATGGACGAGTATATATACATTGCATATTTGATGGTATGTTGACCGCTCTGATACACTTTGCAACATCGAAAACAAGAAAAAACATAAGTAAGTGACAATTTAGTTAATAAAACAAGGCGGTGGGACTTATGATGACTTACACGGACTTACCGGATATACATGGACTTAGGCCTAAGTGGACTTATAAGTCACTTATAGATAAGTTGCATAAGTCAAGTTATAAGTCGGCGGCCCCCTAAGTACCGAACCAGGTCGGTGAGGACGGAGACTACTGGGAAGGCGCCATTGGAGGGCCCAGTCAGACCGAACCTGAGAAGGTGTGGATCCATAGGGCTTGATACATTGATAGATCCGCACCGCAGTGTGGGACCTGGGACACCACTGGGAATGATCCCATGCTCTCCCACTTGGGGACCTGGCCGGAAAACTGTGCCCGTTTCCGGGTATAATTTCCCTATGGGGCACCGTCGACCTTCGAAGAGAAACGTCATTAAGCCTTCCTGGCGAGGAGAAACTCCCGTGTTCTGTGGGCCTCGCCCACGTCCTGTCTCCGCGCCATCTGCAGCTGTAGAGGCCCCAGCCTTGGGCGCTGGTGTGCTAAGCCGCACTGGCGCCGCGGAGGGGAAGAAAGACCAACTTCTAAGCGCCAACTGGGCAGTTTCGCAAAGTTCATGGCTTGCAATTCGTAGTTTGCAGAGTTCTGGGTAGCCTTCGGTCCTGTTAAGTCTTGTTATAACCATGTATATCCATGTGAGCCATGCTGAAAACCTTGATAGATTCCTATGTCGTAAGAACTGCCTTACGCAAAAACTTACGCCGCGCTTACGCGACCGCAGTTTCAGCTTACGCGGGGGTGTTGCTTACGCCGCTGCTTACGCCACCTTACGCCATTGCAGGCTTTGCTTACGCAGCATCGATATGACATAACTTGGAAATGTCTGGCTTACGCCAAAGCTTACGCAGAGCTTACGCGACCGCAGTTTTAGCTTACGCGGGGGGGAGGTTTTCAGCATGGCTCATGTATATGTTCTTTTTAATCGTGCGCACGTTGGAGAAATCTCCGACTCTCCACACCGAAGGCTGATTGATTTGTACACCAATCCTTTAGGAAGTGTAGCCTCTGTCCATTTCAGCCCCCCCCAAAAAAACATGTACAAATCCGATCAGCACTCGCACCAATTACATGAATCGTGGTTTCCCAACCCTCTCAGGGAAGTGTTTGGCTTTTAGCAACATTTTTTTCCCTGTCGCCAGTATCCCGATCGGTTTTGAGGGACCTGTTGGGCTGTTTGGAGCTTTTGGCAGCGTCTGGGTCGGTTTGTGGGTCCTGGCAAGGCTTCAAGCATCCGCGCATGGCCCATTTTGGTCGTTTTGGCATTTGCACCACGAGGGAACCGGCGAATTTAGCCTTGTCCCCTGCGGACGTGGGTCATCTCACCCGAAGCTGGTCATTTCAGACAATTGGATGGTCAATGCGATGCTCAATTTCTATGTTTTTTTTTGAGAATTCACGACCCACATCTCTGCCAGATTCTATACTCCTGGCCCTCCTTCCCGCCGCATTTGCGGCGGAAGGAGCGCTGCCATTGCGTCAAAGAGTTCCACTCATCTTGTCGTGGTGCGGGTAAAAGCAGTACTTTCGCGCGTGGGGCGGACCAGCCAGCGCAGGGAATTCTTTTCTGAATCTGGGTGTGAGTTCTCAAAGGAAGAAGCTACAGAATATGATAGAATGCTACTCTAGCACCTCCGAAAGGATACTGATTCAGCTGGTGCTTCCTCTTTTGGACTTCCAAGTTCTGGCAGGTCTGAGAGTCGTGGACTGGGAGTCACCCAGAGCTCGGGTCTGAAAACCGAAAAAGGGCCGAAATGGTCGTCTTCTCGGCTCATTTGGCTCAACAAACGCACGAGGAAGATCGAAACAGTGAGTAATCAAACCTAGAAGACCTATACCTACGACTTGAGTGACCTCTATCTTGGATCAACAACCAGCCCAAATAGGGTATTTTCCTATCAAACAGGAGGTCAAACGGGTTCTATCGATATGCATGGAACATTTGCCAAACATTGGGGTGCCGTCGGCACAAAATGTTGTGAGGTCTCCTTTGCTGAAGCAACCAGCGATAAAGGTGGAAAGGTTCAGTACGACCATACTCTCGTCCTGAACCAAAAGTAGACTCCTAAGTATCGTTTCAAAAATCCAAGCTTCAGGACATTTTGGGGTCAACTCCTTTGACCACGAAGTCTCATACTTGTTCTCACTTGTTCTATAACAGTATAGCTAGCGTGTTTCCAGTGCAAGGGCAGTTTTGAGAGTGAGCCAGGTTGGGGGAAAGAGGAAGGGCCATTCTTCAGGTCCAGTAGCGAGTTTGACCTCAGCAACAGAGTTCGATGCAAACTGGGTCCAGCTGGATATGTTGGAACACTCCAGCTGGGTTCTCACCTTCGAAATCCTTCAAACCCCGAGCTGCCGTTGCCCACCGCGAATGCTGCTCGCAATTCAGCCCTCATCAATGAGATCCCTGCGGTGGAAGGCGGGTTGGTTTTCCCACACAACAGGTCACGGGGTGCATCCTCCCAAAGAACATGATTGTGGTCTCCTTGCAATGGTCTGTCACTGAGACACCGCTGCAAGTTGGGTAGTGTACAGTTCCTTCTAAGTTTGGGGTACAATAGCTCTTTAGATCTCTTTAGAAGCAGTGCGAGCTTTTGGCCAACTCATTTCTTGACTGAGCAGTCTTCAGGGAATCTAGCGATCAACAGTGACCCCCCCAAATAGATAGATCCAAACAAACAGAATAGCCAAATCAGCAAAATCATCCCTTCTAAAGACGTCTTGGAATGCTTGGAACATGATGAAATCATCGCGCACCATCGCTCACCAAGCATCCTCGCATGTTGAAAAAACCGAGAGACCGCGAGACCGACAGATCAGCTTCCCCCCCCAGGACCGATCGTCTAGGGAATGGGCGACCGGATGCGGATGGTGAAACCCATCAACGCCAAGGGCATCGAGTCGATCGAGACCGGTGAGAAAAAACCATCGATCTCCCATCAGTCGAGTCGGCATTTGACCATTGTGATGAGATGATTTGGGGAGTCCTGATGACCGGATGGTTCAGACCGGAATTGAAGCAAGGTCTTTGGCACTCTTCGACACCCAGTCACTGGGCCCTCACATCTGGGTCAGAGACGAAAGCGGTGACAAAACGGATTGGGGAGCCGCTGTGAAACAGGCAGCCGAAGGGGGGCCGAACCCGGGGATGGTCCTTTCAAGCACCTGGGATAAAGGCCAAGACCATGGCGAGATCGCTCAGATGAGATCCGTTCAGGAACTTGCACTTATTCAACGCACGCATAAATGAACAAGTAACAAGGGGCAACAACAAACGGTCTGCGGATCTCTAAAGATGATGTATATTTATATATATATCATTTATATGAATATACATCTCTCTCTATATATATATATATACATATGGTATATGGATCACATATGGATCTTGCATGATCTTGCCCTTGGAATCTGTCGCTTTTATAAACAAACCATACCCAGGACGCTTCTGGTCACCAGACTGCAAGTCCGGTCCGCTCACCCCCCCCGCCTGTCCGCCGTCACATCAACGTGCCTGGAGACATGCCGCATCGTCCGGTCTGTCTGAGGTGTTCATTGTGCCAAAGCGTGGCGACACAGATCGTGCTTCCAACAATCCATCAAGCCATGCAGTCTGTGACTGCTAAGCTGTTGAATTCAATTCAAGTGGCACCACATGATGGAATCGGATAGCACTAGCATCACCACCCTGCTGAGAATGCTGCTGAGAAGAGACTTACAGTCCTTATAATCACCTCAACATGCAGTGGATGATAAGCTTCGTTTCACAACAAAAGAGAATATCCCGAGCACTCGAGTGCTCGCTCTTCCCATCCCAAAGGATGGAAAACCTCCCTCCCACGCGGTGGTCGCGTGCAGCCGGTCCTTCCGACGCGGCACAGCGCTGGTTCCCGATCCGCAGGGTCTCCGCCTGGGCCGTTCTGCTGAGCTCATGGTGCCAGTGCCATCTACTCTGAAGCCACAAGCAAACAAACACAGCTGATTCTCTGTTCACTGCCTAGAGAGATTGATTGAACATCTTGAAACCACAGGATTGGCTTGACCAAAGCCTATTCTTCAAGATCGGATTCACTGTTTTTCCCCCGGCGCCTGCCGGATCAAATGGTCTTCGACACCAGCCAAGCGTGCATCCGCCACCTGGGTGGCATACAACCCCAATGGGCCCATGTTTTCAGTTCAAAACCAACAAACCCCTGCATAATATTTGCTGATATAGTTATACTTCAGACACAACATACTAATGTTTATCTTTTGTTCATTTAACCGTTTTACCTGCAGTCCAAGAAAAAACATACATTAGCTGATATACCATATGTGTGTGTGTGTGTCTTGTCCCGGAACTGCGATTGTCCCGGAATGATCCAAGGGAAACTTTCAAGAGTGTTGACTCATTGAAGGAAGGGAATCCAAGTTTGGGAGTCAAGCATCCTGCAACAAAAGAACCTCTCCGCAACCTCTTGCTATCCCCGGCCTCTCCGTACAGGTGGAGTTCAGACTTACAAGTGCGGACCATCGTCAGTGCCGGTCCAGGGGCACTCCAAATCATCCAACACTTGGTGCCCCTTTCAACAAATGTCAAAACCACATGACATCAAGAATGATCAAACCATGAATATCAAAACCAAATGTCCTCAAACAGGAGTACTCTGCCCCACTCTGCCTGACCTGCCCCAACCCAAGCCGCAGGGATATTAATAGGTAAAACATGGTAAAACACACACAAATCCTTTTGGATCCTTTTTGAATCCTGCTCCAGGATCCACAGGTTCTTCATCCCCCCCAAGCCATCGCCCAAGCCACCAGCGCTTCGATGCGAGGATTTCGATCCTCGATCGCCTGGCACATTTTGGGAGTCAGGAAACGGACTTCGTGATTTTTCCAGGAAACACCAACATATGATGTATACATGTTCGATCATTTTCGTGCACCATGTTGTTTGTACGGAACATCCTCCGAACATGATCAAGTACAAAGCACTTAAATAATTGAGAACAACACTTATTACAAAACACATGAGCCAAATGTATATAATCACTTTTGTTTACCATTTCAGCCTGTGGTGTGTGACTTACTGCCCAGGAGATCTATATCTTGATGTTTCCATGGCGCCCCTCTCATCCTAGTACTGCTCCCTTCCCGTTCGCCCGATCGATTGCTCTGCTGGGAGTCACTGGGCAGCGTCCGATTGCTCCTAGTAGACACCGCTTTTTGTGGCCCCTGAACCCAAAATCCCAGACGAATCTTGAAGTCAAAAATATCTCAAAAATACCGCCAACTCTTGGAAGAGGCAACTCTCGCAATGGGGTAATGCTCAGACTCTCCCACCGGACTCACCAATCTGCCACCGCAGCCAGGCGCCAGCACTGGATGGAAAGCAAACCGTCACTCGGCGTGGGGAAAGCGACGGTCGTTGTTTTGCTCTATGTCCATTGGCTGGAACATCCCGGGCTCTAAGAGTCCCCAGCAGTGGCCGACAGAGTCCATGCTTTGACGGTCAAGACACCGCTGCTATGCTATGCTTGAGGACTTGTGCATGCATGAAGAAGCAAACCTAAATCCTGACAGAAAGTAAACCATGCATATAGTACAGTAGTAAACGGGCTCATGCATGCTGAATGGCATGAAACTTGAAGAGTTTCTGATTGAAGTTCTGTGTCAGGCCATGCCACTGGGATCCCAGATCCTAGATGCTCAATTTCAATCTGCACCCACTCAGGGTTTTTTGCATCATCACTGGAACTGCTCGATCGGATCGGTGGTCCTCCGACGGAGACATGGGGATCCAGTCGTACCGAACCTCAGGTTCGGTACTGGACCCTCCTGGCACCTACATGACGGTGTCTCCTTCCTCGCCTGCTGAGAAGGTTGGATCCCTAGGGATTTCATGGGACGGGCAGAGTGACATTCAGGGGCGTTGGTTTCGGGTGGTGCGTTTGGACAGCCCCTTTTTTTGGACCTCTAGTCTACCTTTAGTTGGGGCTATTGGACACCCCTTAGGACCAAAAGCGGGGCCTTACCCGGGGTGCTGGGACATTAGGGTCATACATGGGGAAAATGCAACTATTCCAGTCCCAGTCGTCTGGTCTGGGGACGAATCGTAATAGTTACAACGATATACCCAATGAACATGACTCTATAATGTAACACAATATAGCTAACGTTCCAATAGACGGAGACCGGACCTGAAAATACCGCTTGACCCCGAGGTCAATCCCGCCTGAAAGTGTAAAGCACAACTCAGAGTTGTCACTCATCATTAAAAACAATGTGCGGTGCACGTATCCCAGCTACACACCTCATAGGGGTTCCTTTTATTTTCAAGAAGTCCTACATCAACAGGGATGCCGCCCAGCAGTCTTCATCTGAATTTCATCGCCAAAAAACCTAACAACAAACACGAGTTCAAGCTGGAAGAGACAGTTCAATCAACCGACATGCACATACCTAAATGGTTGCGGCGCAAAACCGGATACCATGGTTGACCTACCTGGGGGCATGGTGTTGGGGCTCCAGGTATTGACCCATCCCCAAATGCTCGTCAGGACGTCAGAACTTCTCAAAACCAACAAGGCGGGACACATCTTGAACTGGCTGACGCTTTACTTCTCTGTTTTCTAACCACAACCCTTCCATCATCTGCTCCAAGTCAGGTCCTTTGCTCTGGCTTGGCATTGCAGGCCTCCAGTGCAGGTGAAGGGTACACGGCTTGGCCATGCGGACATGGGCCCTCTTGGCTTGGACAGTTCAACGGCTCGGAGCCCATCCACTCAAGGAGAAAAACACCGTAGTTGGGGCCCTTCCATTCATCAACCGAAAAACGGCTTGGAACGCTGCAGTCCAAAGGACGCATGGAACAAATAGGAACATATTCAATGGGGTAAAATCCCATAGGGAAAGTACAACATCACCATATAGCAAAACTATACCTAGCGCTTCCTGTCGCGGTGCCCTGTCAGACCTTTTTCGTAGTGTGGAGATATCCAGCCAGGTGACCCCGAACGCCCGCCCGGTGAAGCAGCTGGTAATCGCCTCAACCGTTGGGACCTTTGGGTTCGTCACCGGGGAGTTACCGGGTGTTGCGAACCGACATGGGGACCACCGAACATCGCCGAACAAGGCGCGCCCAATGCGTAAGGGGTGGCGCAGTTGGGACCGGACGGGGTGTGCTGTTGGAAAGGTCTAGTATTAAAACTGGAAGACTAGGGGGAAACACGTACAAAATCAATCAACATCATGTAAAGATACAATATATAAGTTATATGATATATACTGTCAACACTGGGGAACCTCTACATCTATTTTTGTCACAACCAGCCAGAATAGAACTTTTCCTATCAAAACGGAGGTCAAAATTGGGCTCATGATCTATATATGTGCACGGAATCACAGGAGTTCAAGAGAAACCTATCCAGCCTAAGTAATTACAGATGTGCCTGTGGCATACACTACCTTGGTACTAAGTCTTCTCAACTGCAAACATGAACAACACTACTTCTGATCCTAGTATATACATACTCTCTGGGTGTCTCTGTCTCTGCTCACAGAGTCCAAAGTTGACACTGACCCCAGCGACACGTCTCTCCGGCACCTCGCCCTTCGCCGCGGTCCTTCGCGCCGCCCCGGTCCGCGGGTCCCGCGGTCCGAGTGCCTCGCATTTCCGCTTGCTCACGGGTCGCTTCCGCTGCGTTTCGGTGCTGTTGAGCGGGGTGAGTTCCACTTGGCACACCGAGCCTCCGCGGTCGACACCGACGGTCCGGCCCGCCGTTTGTTTAGCACCGGTGGCGGCGTGGCGCCAAGGACGGCTTCGGTAAGGATAGAGCTGCGGAGCACTTGCGGATGTCAATGTGCACCTTCTGTTGGAACATGGAAGGTAGGGTCTTGTTCCTTTAGCTGGTTTTCAAGTTGGTGAAAAAGAGACGTTTGAACAAGTGGTCAATTCCGTCTTTGATCCATCTATAGAAACCAAGGCCACCAGCCATGTTCCAACAAGGATAAGCTAGCTAAACGAAACCGATCCTCAAGTTTCTTGGAGCATCAATCGATCAACCCCTATCTCTTTCCAAGCCGAGGATGGCCACTTCTGTTCCCAAAACCACGATCCCTTATAACAAATAACGCCTGAATGGAGGTCTTCTCAAGGTTTCTTCGGAGGTCCCCACATGCACTCCGCATTTGGTTTCATGAATCACCAAAGGTCACTTGCCAGCTCGTCATCTAGCCAGCTCGTCAGCTTTCATTGCATCAGGATACTCAACTATAGGCAGCCTACTAGGCAGCCTTTTACGTGGTCTTGAGGAAGTCAAACCTAATAGGTCCCTGTTATGAGAGGCAAGAGCCACTAGGGGCCAAAAACCAGCGATCCATTCCCAGCTCATCTCAAGCTATCCGGACGACCCCTGAGCACGGCATGTCCAACCTCTCACAGTCACAGCATGTCACAGCCTGTCCTCAATTCGTCCCTGTTTGAGCTCCACGAGGTCCCTGCCGCCCAAGGGACACACTTTCTTCCCTTGCGCCGCAGGCACCAACGTCGGCGGAGGTGGCATCGGGCCTGCACCACCTGAGACGGTAGAGGCCGCAGTGGGCCATGGTGTCCTGCTGATTAGATTGGAAACAACCCTTCTCAACTTTAAGACTTAGTAATCCAGAAGTTCTCATGCACCTATCACCTATTGCCTAATAATGTCTACAAAGCCAGGAAAGTGCATAAGTGCTGAGAAGGTGCTTCTCATGATGGTCTTATCCGCCTTCCTGTAAACGCTTCCTTGATGCTCGGCATGGGCCAGTGCCACACAGTCCTCGCCCCATTCACTCAACGTCCAACTACCCCTGCGTGTACGCAGTGTGGAACAATGTGGAACAGCTGTGAAGTGTGACCCCAAACCTCCAAAGTGTGGGGGCCCTGCCCCATTCATGCGCCTTCACCACCGCGTTCGCGCGACGTGTTCACCCGCGCGGGAAGAAGGGGGAGACACGCTGTGGGGATCGGTCCGTGCACAAGCGGAGGTAGATCGGCCGGCCCAGCTGCTTTCGCGAGAAGTTTTTGCCTGAGGTGTTCGTGAGAGAAGACAAGGCACGGATCAAACCAAGCTGTGACAGGCTGTTGGATCTTGAGAGAGCTTGAGATCAAAATGTCAACATTCAACACTTAGGCCTGGCCGCCAGTGATGGTTGATTCGCCATCCCACACCCTATATAGGTGATTGTAGGCACTGTACTGTAGTACGTCAACAGTTAAGGGGTGGGACTCAGTATATAAACAACGGTTTCATAGCCGTCGATTTCGCATCGATGCACCACACAAACCACCGGTCACCACACAAACAACTCGGATGAGCTGTTCCCAGATCCCAACATGGCCCACTAAACCGTGGACACGTGCCATTGTGATCCATTGTGTGTGTGTTGTTTCTTTTGTTCGAACAGGTCAAATATATTCCCCTCTGGCATCAGTGACTCCGGGACTCCCGTGTACGTGTCGAGGTCCCGTGTACTACTAGACTCACGGGTGGTCGGTGGTTTCGGTGTCCGGCCACGGACCGACGACCTCCAAAGTGTCACACGTCCGGTCCACTGGCCGCGGGTCCGGTGATGCGCAAAGGGCGCGCGCCGCGGACCCGCGCCTTCTTCTTGACATCGCGTGCACGTGGCCGCGGTGGGCAGCGCCAGGGAATTCCTCGGTGCCGGAAGCGAAAGAAAGCAAGGCATGGTTAGTGGTTCTTACAAACTCAGTTGGGCGGTCCTTCAAGGAGCAAAAATCAGGATCAAACAGATCGGATTCTGCCAAAGAATCCGAATCTTTGAGTCGTGAGATCTTGATCTGCACATGAAACAAATGTCGATCCTTTGCATCAACAAACATCCACTTTAGACCACCATCTTAAAGATAAGCTTCTACTCAAATGCAGACTCAGATCACATATCTGAGCTACGAGACGTCGCAGTCTCTGGCAGGTGGAGATTTGTGGCATCTGATCAACCGTGCAAACAAGATGAGCCGTGGCCAACCTCTGGAGCAAATTTAGGTTGGGGTTACAGTACGTAACCCAGACACTCCATATTTGGAATATAATGGAATATATATTTGCATGCCTACATTGACACCCCAAATCACCCCAATGATTCCCAATGTAGGCAAATATACATGGAGTGTCTGGGCACACAGCGAATTGTAGCCTGTGGTGCTTTCATCTAGATTGGACCCCTTGTGGTGACCCAGGCAGCCTCGTATATACTCTCTTGCTCACCCCAAGAACCGCACAATATGAAGCTAAAGGGGCGGGAAATCATGTTGGGTCCATACCAGGGCCCTCTAAGGGGTGTCTACTATCAGCCCCTTAGAGGTCAAGGGGTGTGCATTGACCACCCCTTGTAGGTCCTGGTCTCTACCAAAATGATGAACAAAGGAACTACCAAAAAGTGCATGGATTCCGCTGAGGTTGATGTTAATGCCCCAGTTTCGCCACTTCATGCTTGCTTCCAGCGGGAAGTGGGGAATAGTAATGACGAAAGCTCGGAGATCACCAGCATAGAGCCAGCATCGAGCGGTACTGAGGAACCACCAAATCTTATGATGAAACCTCACTATATACGTATAGACACTCTCCTATACAAATCTTTGACTCAAGGATCTCTGGCAGGATGATGAATCGGCAGTCGTCCGGTTTGAAGTCTTCCTCTTCGGCCAGCCGCCACATCAGGTCCTTCACACACCGTGATAACGCGTGAAGGACAAAGAAAAAACTGCTCAGCTGGCGGCTGGTGGTTCAAGCTGAAACCAACTTAAGACTTCAACCAAATATACACATGGTGGGGAGGTGTCCGACAAGTCTTATACTCAATCAGGTCTAGTTGAGCCCCGGAATAGCATCTATTGTCAAAACTAAACAATTTGAGCAGTGCTATAAAGGGATCTCAAGGTCTGTGCAAGCAAGGTCCCTCCAAACAGCCGTACATGGACTTGAGAAGCTTGTAAGCCGTTCAAAAGGACCAACAGAAGAAGGTAAGGAACCTCCAAACGACCCACTCCAGAACCATGTTCCATAGTCAGGTCAGCACGAAACAATGCATTCAGGTCTTGACAAAGACAGCTACCGGTTCCAAGAATTCGGGGCTGCTCTAAAGACCGCGAGACTTATCTTCAGCTGGGCCTGCGGGTCTGGGGCAACTCTGAATTGTACAGGTTCCTAGAATCTGAGTGACCTATTTTTGGACCACCAATCACCCAAATATGGTCAAACATGGTCAAACTTCCTACTAGTATCAGTAACGTTCATGTCTGGAATTGTTGGGTCACGCTCCAGCGATGACTGGAGTGGTCTTCACGCGGCCGCGTCCTTGTCAACGTTCTCCAGCGATTTGTCCATGTAAGGCTCTTCATCATCATCCGCCTCATCATCTTCCTCCTCCTCCTCTTCCTCCGGCACGTTGGTCGCATCGGTCAAGCGTCGGTCGCACCGGTACAGCCGGTTCGAAGGACGGAGAAGGACGCGTCTTGACGTCCGTCACTCATCGACAGGACTGCAACGAGTCTTTTTGCGCAAAAGTGAACCAATTTAGATACATAACTTAGATCCATTTATAGATAAAATCGACATACAGTATATAAGTTTCATGTTTGACATTCAACGTACCACTGCCAAGTTAGGATTGGATTGAGCCATTGATGTCTTTCGACGGCTCCGCCTTCGTTCCATCCGCGGAAGCGACGCGACGTTCCAAAGGCCTCCGAGACGAAGCCACTGAGCTGAGGCATCTCCTGTGGACGTGGTGGACCCTCCGGTGGGTCTTGGAAAGGCGACAGGTTTTGGAGACGATGGACATGACCAGAATATGTTTGTTATGTGTTTGTGTTCCTTTTTTAAGTCTCTTCTTCTAGGAGCGGTGGGTCTATAAGTTCCAGTTTCTTCGTACCTCACAGTGGGTATCTTTTTTTGATCTCTTTCCGTCGAAACGCAGGAACTTGATTCATCGACTGAGTCTACATGACCCTCCATACCACTGCACCTCTCAGTCACCACCGAAGAACAAAAAACAAACAGTTAAACAAAAAAAATATATATATATATAGAGAGAGAGAGAATTATATGGAGCCTGTTTTCTGGAATGGAATTCAGGAGTCTTTTCCATGTCATGACAGGCAGAGCGCCCTCGTGCCTCACAGGGAACCGTGCTCTGCCGGGAGGGAGGAAAGAACACGGGCTTCCAATCTGTAGCCGAGTGTCAGAGAAGAATCAGAAACCTATCAGAACTCCAGAAACCGCCTGGGATCAAGCGACTGGGTCATAATTACTGGCTCCAGGGAAAAAAGAGCGGCGTGTTGTTTGTGTTTTGCTGTGCAAGCTCTATGAGCTGAGCTGAGCTGGAGTAGGAAATTGCTCATGAACACAGAGGGGGGCCCTTGGCATGGTGAACAACCTGACTCATTCCGTAGCTCAACTCTCTCTCTCTCCCTATCTCCATCATCCGGCAATGCAAGGCTAGGCGCACAAAAATCAAGTGACAGGGATGGGGTCCGGCTTTATACAAGCGATGTAAATGCGGAAGTTTCCCTGACAAGAAGGGATTATCACAACCTCTATGGTAGTACCTGGTGGGCGCCTTCAGATGCGCAAACTGCAGTTTTGCACTACCTACCATCCAGTACAAGAGGCCGGTCATTGAAAGTCATTGACCATAGGGCCATAGGGTTCATGAGTCGCATGCAAAGCAACAAAGACATGATGCAAAAATATTAAGTTCTACATCAATTCCATCTATGAATATGAACTGATGGCTCATTCACGTCGCCGCTACCTTTCGTGACCATGCTTCAGACGTCACGTCGCCCGAAAAAACCGCTGCCACCGGTGCCACCCGGAGCGACGGCGCTCCTGGAGTCTTTCACGGAAGGGCTCCAACAGCCCGTCGATGCGCTCGAGGTTGAAGGCCGAACTGGGCGGTACTTGGAGAGGTCGAGGCCGGAGACGATCCGCCGGGTGAGGGAGTTCGGCTCGGAGACCGGAATTGGATCCTGTTGCAAGTTTGTTCGGAATCGAACGCCTGAGGTCAGCTGAAGATCACATCTATCAACACTTAGCAACAGCTATGCATTGAAGGTGGCGAGAAATCCGGCAGTTCCTTAGAGGGAAACATCGCCCTTGTTTCTGGCAGTCCCGGGCAGTTGTTGACCTGCGAGGGCTCATCCAGCTGAGTGCTAGGAGTTCATGCTGAGTGACACCCCGAGAGAGGATGCTTTAGAGGACTGTCTAAAGGTGTGGAACCTCATCCAGAACTCATCTACATCAGAAGGACCAGACCTACCCCCTGTAAGCGAACCGATGGTTGAGTGCTGTGCTTGTTCGGTTTACCTTACGTAAGCGTACAACCAATCAACCACGAATCACACAGAATCAACCACCCAAATATACAAACACTCAAGGCCTTAGACTGATGGTGTGTGTTCTAAAGCTGCAAACAGCCGTTTCTATTGTGTCTACAGGTGTGTAGATAATCACTTTGTTTTGCACAAATAAAATATGTTTTTCTGCTACAGATATATGTCACTACATCCTGGATGCAAAACAAATGAGGCCACTTCCCAACAAAGGAATCTTAAACAAAGAAAATTATCTTTCCCAACGAGGAGTCTTCTTAACCTTAAACACCAAAAAGAACACACATTCCCACCTTCCCACTTCCCAGGATTCTTCATGATTCTTCCAATCCCCCAGGCCAGCAGGCCCTGCACACCCCTTCAGCTCCATCCCCTTCGCTCCAAACCTCGCTCGCCCCGCTCGCTCCAGGCTCCGCACAGCGGTCCGTCCGCGCACAAAGGCACGAAGCGTCCAGGCCACGGACCCCGCCGTTGCGGCTCGGCCGAAGCCACCTGGACCGGGTGCGGCGTCGTTTGGTTCGGTGGGTTCCATGACCGTTTGGTCGGCGGGTTTGAGACATAGAGGGGGGAGGGTCCAGTGATAGACCATCTGAGACACATAGTACGGTCATATCTATATATAACAGCAAGTTTGCACGTCAATGGATTTGGTGAGGTTGTCAACAGATGGTGTCATCAACATGATGAACGAATGATGAACACCAACAAAAAGGGATTCGGTGGTTTGAGCTCCTGTGCAATTTGATCGGTGCAAGTGAGTGAGTGATTGAGTGATTGAATGAATGAATGAATTCCCAAACACTCCATGTATGCCATATATGCCTACATTGGGGTGGTTTTGGGGGTCAATGTAGGCATATATGGCAGTCCCATGTGTTGTGTCTGGGGAATTAACCTAATTTAGCATGAACAACTTGAACAACCCCGCCAGCATCTGAAGCAAGGGAACAACACTGCTTTCAGTGTGATATGGGATTCCCGGGTTTGGGAACAGAGTCTTCCGCATATCAATGATATGGGTTGGGCCGCCCTCCCATTACCAGGGCCTATCCGTGGATGATGATAGTTGCAGGCCTTGTTTCCAAATAGTGATGTTCTATGATGTTCTTGTTTACCAACTGTTAGTTTTACAGGGACAAACCCGGGACAGAAGGCATGGACACAATCACCTTCTCGCGCCCCGGTCCATCCAACCGACATCGGTCCCGGTCGACTTGCCAGGCCATCCTAAGGTTCAAAGATTCCAAGGGTTTCTATGTCATAAGCAATACACTTCGTGTCCATATACTATCATGTATCAACGGACAAAGGCGGATTCCAAGAACTTCTGAACCTGTTAGATGGGGAGACCTCTTTTAGATGGGGAGTTGGGTTCAGACGGTGTTAGACGGCAGGGTTTTGGATTCTTCCAAGGTTGGTGGGACACGGTCCGGCTTGAAGCCCTGCGTTTTGGCAGAGAAAGGACCTCCGACCCCTGCGTTTTGGCATGGCCTGGTCCGCATGGTTAAGAGGCTCGAAAAACCGATGAACTCCATGGTGTTCTCTTTGGCAATTCCTATGTGACATGGACGTTCGTTTTATACATCTCGAGCCTTATTTCCAGACATCTGTAATTTGACACTGAGCTTTCTCGGATCTATTACTACAGCTCAGGGGAATAGCTTAGTAGCTCAGTGGGCAGAGTGGCGGTCAAAAACGGAGCTGTCCGAGGGAGCTAGGGTCCTTCTCTCGTGACCAAGGAGACCATCAGACCATCCAAGCACTTGCCGAAGCTGATTGCTTTTCTGTTGTGGTTGATGGTTTTGTCGTTGCAGGATGTCTTTTGGTGTAGCACGAAAACAAATATTACTTGCCATGCCTTTCCTGACCACGTTTCTTGTAATTAAGGGTCCCTTTGTGCTACTTGGATGGATCACATCCTACCGTTCACACTGTCCTTTGTTCATAGTCTGTAGCACATCTTTTGCGGCCGTGCCTGCAAGAAGTCTCGCGCAGCCTGGTGAAAGGCCTGGTCAACACATGAACGGCAAAACTTCCAAAAACAATGACGATATAGCGAAACCGGTCACCCATTGCATACTCTGCAATTCATGCAGCAACGTGTGCCGGCCACTACATCAAGTGTACATGTATCAGAGTGCGGTGAGATGCCGTTGTTGGAAATGCGAATTTAGACCACTTAGGATTGAACAAGGATTTCTGAGATATCTACCAACGATCCAATTGCTCAGTTCACAAAAGGAGTTTTCAGAACATAGACGGACCCTACAACTGCTTGGTTTAGGTTAGACGGCGAGACAGCTGGCACGAGCCCACCCCAAATCCACGCCGCCCAATGTTGGGCGTGAGAGATAATGGCGCAGGATACCTATTTTTTTTCCTACCTGGACGATCATTCGCTACAGTATATGGTGGACTTGTCGGGCTCCAGGTTGAAACGACCCATTGCGGCCCCTGAGACACCCTGCAGGCCTGAACACTGCTGGGGTTGAACTGCTTGAAGATCGCCAAGTCTTCTTCAGTTCGCGTCAGCATCCGCTCGCCCCACTGAAGCTGACCCTCCGACCTGCAAGTGCCAAACATACATCTAGTATGGCGAACTTGCATTCCATGGTAACAAAAAACAACTAGACACAACTGATGCAAGTCCACCATGTTCTTGGAGTGTGTCCCAACTCATATTCCGATGGACATCCTCTAAAGCCAATCAGTGCATGGACAAACTGCTTGCACCTCTAGTGTCAACCTAGGATTAAGTAACCTCCCCCCATCAATCAAGCCCAGCTCGAGCCCCCAATACTAACCTAATTTTAAATATATATTACACATGTCCATCACTTGGCAAACACCTCCCCCTATTAATCAAGCCCAACTGCCCCAGAAAACAAACACTAAGTCACTAGTTTACTATTATTACAATTAATGCATTGTTATATAACGGCATTATATAGTATTACTATTTACTATCAAGCCCAGCATTCAATATCTTCTGGTCAGCATCAATTGTTCCACAATCCCTAAAAACTATCTAGCAACATGCTTTAATGTTCCCTGACTAAAACTCCATCTACTATCAACATCTTCAGGTTTTCAAGCTCACAAAGGGTCTATACCCCTTACACAGGCCTCATGGTTCACACAGAATCCTAGCAACCATCATCCATCACCAGGTCAACACCTTAAGTAGGGGGATCTGGTCTCCAAAACCTCCAATCTCAAACCTTGTTGACCTTGTTGACCTTGAAGGGGGGGGCCGTTGATGAATCCTACGTCGACATTGGAGCCAATTTGTGCAGGTGGCAAAAACTGTCATTAACACTTGAATTCACTTGAATCACCTGTCCATGCCTGCACAAGTAAGATAGATGGCTGTGGGTCAAAACACCGAGCCGAGCCCCGGTACCCTGCTTTAAACAACTCCCTATAGTATTCAGTTCCTTTTTTGATCTTTTTTGGGTGGTCTTCCACAGTCCCCCGGGGTGTGACTCCCAGCATCTCGGTTTCGTCAACTGGTAACGGTCCACCTGTTCTACGGTGACTTCTCCCACCCATCGTTGCGTTTCGGATCCAAGAAACAACTCCACAAGCATTTCTTGCCCCTCTTCAGCAGCTACCCAAGCGCCATCGACGCTGCGGTAATAGAACGTCTTTGCATCTGACAGGGATCGTGCTGGCGGACGAATGGCAAAGATCCTGAACATTGACATCAAAGTCCTTCTATGAACATGACAGCAAGCAGCTGGTGGAATTCCAGGTCGCTTATTGCCGATCGAAACCACATGGTTTTGAAGGGTCCGCCGCCTTGGTCTAACAAAGGGTCGAGGACCCGATAAACACTGGTTGTCCATCTACTGGCGACATAGCAGAATCAAAAAAATAGCAAAAACCGCCACATCTATCCAACCGCCGTTCCGCTCGCAGCCCACCTTGGACACTTTGGTCCGAAACCCTCAGGTACTCTCCGAGGCAATCCTTAGATGCTTCGTTGTGAGGCACTCGTTCCTTTGGCTGTTGGAGCACAAGAATCGCTTAAACATGCGGACGGGACTGTCAGAATGGAACGAAGAAGCAGACTGCTCAACGGATATGCTACGATCTATGGTGGTAAACTATAGTTAAGCATAGCTAAACTCTATTGTCTTGGATGGCCTACGTTAGTAGCAGCCCCCTAGGGACATGCTTTTGGCGCTCCCCGGGGGGCAACCTACCAGGAAACTGGCTTCAGTCAGCACCCTGGTCCACCACACCTTCACTAGTGGTGACAAAACACTTCAGGGTTTTTACGAAAGACAAACTAAGATGTGGTGTACACTCCTGGGCAGCAGGGAAACTGGGTGACAACGGACGACAAGGACTCTCTGCAAGATGACGACATGGACTCGGCACATGATGGATTTGCCCGACCACCTGGGTCAAGGAAAACTGATGGATTTGACGACGACATTGATGGGAGTGAACAAAACTCCGAATGGGCTTGGAGAGGTTGTGACCGGCGGATGTGGCGTTCGTGACCTGCGACGACTCACAACAAAAGACGGACCGTCCAAGGGCGGCGTCCCAACTGACTGGTCCCTGGACGTCCAAGGCCTTAAGGGATGATGGAACCGAACATGGTGGTCCCCTACGCCCAACCTCTATGAACATCAGATTTACCACAGAAACACATCAAGTGGACTGAAGTGTGGAAGGAAATGCCAGGAGAACAGGACTGTCCAAAAGAAAATTGTATATCCAGGACCTTTCCCAGTGACCTTTATGGAGTCAGCAAGTGACCTTCTACAGGCCTTGTCGTCACCTCAAACCAGGCGATCCAGGACGGTCACTGGGAAGATCCAGGATTATGTACACTGGTTCTAAGAGACGACACTCACAGCGGCAAGTGATACAGGGACATCAAAACGAGACGAGACTAGGCCAAGATGTCCGAAGCCACGACTGTAGTGCCATGTGGCAAATGGTTGTCCAATACCAAGGGCTGAAGAGCGGAATCGGAATGAAACATACTTGTTTTTAATGGTATTCATGTTTTGATCCGCTTACTTATGCTCGAGTTTGTTGATCAAGGACCTGGTGGAAAAAGATCATGCGCGCGAAAAGCACATATCTTCCCACGTGATTTCTATGGTCTATGCCTATGCCTTCAAGGATTCCGCATGATTTCACTGGCAGATTCCAGGATCTGTGAGAGCCCTGGGGCAGCCTATCGTTGCAAAGTTCCGCATACGTCTTTTCTCGGCATCATCGTTTGGTCTAACTCTACCAACTTCGGCAGTTGGATAAGGCCCAACAAAATTGTTCAAGTCGTGTCTATGCCGTGCTACTGTTTTCTTCCATTCGAAGATACAAACCTGATACCCACCCGGCTATGCGTGGCTCAGAGTCAATGCGCACTGCTGTCCGAAATTGATCCATCCAATCTCCAGCCCAGGCATGAGTCTGGTATGACTGCCTGGGCGTAGAACTGATGTCAAAAACCTACCTGGAACGAATGCCCACTGGTTTTTGACATTACAAACCTGCCAATGAAAAACGGCCACCCTGAAAAAGTGGTTGTGTGCTTCGGTGGGGTTTGGAGAGGTGGAAAGTGGGCATGCAGAAGAAAAAATGGCCTGTGGGGTGTGGGGTGTACTTCTGCTTAGGAAATCCTTGCGAAATGGGCTTGATGGCAACGGAAGGGGCTTCAAGAATGCGATGCTCCAAGGTTGCCCACCAGGTACGAACACGGGAAAGTTTTTCACGTGTTATTTGCAAACAAGGGATATGGACATGGACGAAAACAACACAACAAGGGATATCGCCTCAAATAGGCGAAACTAAGAACATCTGCCTATTCAGCGGTTTCACAGTAGATGGCACGAATGTCCATGTCCTTCAGATGGGGGTCTATATAAACCACCCAACTTGGACATTTGTCCCATAATGTCCCACATACTCCGAAACGGAGGATGGTGCCTGGCAACCCAGTCCCAATCAGAAAAACACATGCTTTTTCCACTGTGCCTTGCTGGAGACCCCTTAAAAATACATAACTAAGTGGTTGGAACTGGGGAGTTTCATCAATTTTTTCTGCTTGGGATCTGTGTCTTAGAAAAAACAAATGGCAACATTTTTTGTTGGTCGTCCCCGGTGTTTGTCGCACCGGGTGGCAGCTGCTTCAAGGCTTCCCGAAAGCGATTCACCGCGCGCAGGTCTTCCGCGCTGAGGATCGCGTCGTTGGATAGCCGGAAAGTCCTGCAGAGCTGGCCCCACCGGACTGAGTCTATCCGAGCTCGACGTCCGAAGAAGATGGGAGAAGGAAGATAGGAAGATAGGAAGGACATCAGGGTGAATCATGGTTGGAACCCACAACCAACTATGGGTGAAATAGGAAGTTGAACAAAATGGGTGTGCTTTGCCTGTTTATATACAACACTCTGTATTGAAATAAGAAGACCTCCCAGGCGTTCTCCCCTGGAAGGTTCGGCAACTGGCATGGTGGTGGGTCAAAGGATTGGAAACACCCTGGTTGATCCCGGAAAAGTATACTCCCTAGGGCTCCAACCATCTCTTCAGAAGGTATAGACCCCCCCAACTCCACCCCAACTATCTTCTCATGAGGTGGTTGGAGCCCTAGGGACTAAGGAGATCAAGCTACCAGGTCCAGGTTTCAGGCTTTGACCCACAGCAATATCTATAGTTTAGGCGTACCCCAATTACCAGGGCCCAGTGGATGATGCTTAGGTTGTAGGGTGCAGGTCTGTGAAAGGCCTTTCTGATGATTACTGCTTAACAACTGGTACAGTACGTACAGGTAATGGGACAAACCCAGTCTAGTATAGTCTATATACACTGCAGGTCCAAGACCTCATTTTACTGGCGTTGGTCAACGCTACTCGATGAGGTTTTCAGGACCAGGTTCGGACCAGGTTGTCCGACTGGACCTGTAAGGATCTCTCATCAAAGAACATATGCCAGCAACCAGTTCAAAGACCCTTAATAGACCCCCTTGACGATGTAGTTTCCAATAACCACTCTTTGGGTGGTGCTGATGTGTGTGTGTGTGTGTTCTGTTGTTATATTATATGTGATTATGTTGTGTGTCACTTTTCGGCAGGTAGGACTATGACTCAAACCTTCGATGGGCAGCAAAGCCGCAGATTTGTTTAGGTTGCAACTGACTTTACAGTTACACACATTGCAAGTATACGAGCATTTGCAAGTGATAGGTTCCATCATTTTCCATCTGAACTCTTGGTTTTCAAAGCAGTGCAAAGCCGACGCCGGACTTCTCTTTCGGAATGCCAAGCTTGGGTCGTCATTCACACAATGTCATCGGCTTCTTCTTCTTCTTGGATTGCCATCAACCAATTTCACTCTGACCCACCCTTCGATGCGTCAGCCCGGGCTGCTTCGGCTCCTCTCCCACATCCACACGCCTCGAATTTCGAAGCGTCCAGGCTCTAAGCCTGCCATCGCTGACTGGGCAAGGACCCACTGGATATCACTTGATTCCCTTCCCAGAAGGTCCAATAAGTCCAGTTCACCACTCAAATCACGATCGCTCCACCTCCAGGAGGCCTTCGTCACCTTGCACATTTCTTAGAAACCACCTTCACCTTGCACAACCAGGAGGCCTGAGGGTTGCTTCCGCCATCCATCATCCTTCCAAGCACTTCCAGCTCAGTTTTGAGATCCACTCAAACAGCATGCTCTGGGGTGAAGCTCGGCCGTCGTTTTGGCGCTCAACGCACCAAACACTGTTCTAAGTTTTCGAGACAAAGCCTTGCGAACGAGTCTCCGAGAAGACATGTGGGTGAACCAAACCCAAACCAAACGAGAGTTTACACACATTTTCCCCATGCAAACATGATGAAAAATGACCCCAATGTACGTTTCTATTCCAGTCCAATGGATGGTCTGGGCAATGGTGTCACCCTGTTTTGCCCTTTTTCATGACCCCCTCCATCGTTTGAGCGTTTGCCAGTGGGGAGACCAGAAGGGGTGAATCATGTCGGGGCCTCGGTTTGCTGGTGCATTGGCCTTTGACACCCAACAGGTCGAGCGAAGCTAAGCAGTCCGGAGCTTCACCCTCCATCCTCACCCCACCAGGCACCTGCCGTCGGTGCGCACAGCGCCGTCATCTTCGCGTCTTTCGGTATTCCCGAGGCCAAGAGCCAGAGCAAAGCTTGGCGCCCACGGTGTTTCGCAGGCAAGACCTAGAACAACCCGCGTTTTGGGAGGTTTGTTGAGACGTGTGAAAACAAAATTTGAAAATTAAATTAACTCACTTGTTCGTCTGGGAGAGGTAAATGGAGCAATGGAGATATGAACATGCGTTTTGAGCCTACAAGCTGTTGTGAGTGGATAAACAAGGACACCATCTCTAAGCCAACACATATTCACACAGACCTGAGGAATCGGCAAAAAAACACCCAGGTCCACCAGGCTGGCTGGTCATGGGGAGCCTCACCATTCTGGGTGTCCAATTGTTTCCAAAGATCTACCAACTGGCCGGAATCCGTTCAGGATGCTTGACGCTTGAAGTCGAGTTCTATTAGAACACCTCTTTTTCAGTAAGCACAACCCTTTCATTTCTTTTTCTGCAGGAACATTTGCATTAAGAGTCGGAGTGGATATACAAGCCAAAAATCATCCAGTCACAAAGCAGGGGCTCTTTGTTTCCACTACCCATACAAAGGAAGGACCAAGGGAACTAAACCATGCACGAGATCATTTACCAACAGAAACAGGTCTGCGTCAATTCTTTGGAAAACATCTCATAGCCCAACCTACTGCCTACTTGCCCGGTCACCCGGTCATTGACTAAACTTGACTTATCACCTAAGTTATAAATTGGACAACTTAACTTACAACCTTTGTAACCCTTGTTGTGACCTTCGTAATTACTATAGAGGTTAGGCTAGCTAGGACTTAGCTTTGACTTACTAACACTTATGAGAGTTAGCCAGGTTAACTTTGAGTTAGCTAAGTCCAAGCTAAGTTCTATAGTGCTTGGCTTTGACTTATAACTAGACTGATAAGTCCAAACTAAGTTTAAGCTAAGTCCAAGCTAAGTCTAAGCTCAGTCCAAGCTAAGTCTAAGCTAAGTCCAAGCTAAGTCCAAGCTAAGTCTAAGCTAAGTCCAAGCTAAGTCTGAGCTAAGTCTAAGCTAAGTCCAAGATATTTCTAAGCTAAGTCAAAGCTAAGTCCAAGCCAAGTTCTAGCAAAGTTACTAGCAAATGTTTAGCTAAGTGCCATCTAGATGCAAACTAAGTTTAAGCTAAGTTCCAGCAACCAAGGTGATTTCCTTTAAACATCAAATTCCAATCAAGAATCTGGTTAATTTCTGTTATATTAACAAAGCATTGTAAAACTTTTTGTTTTCAAAGTTGTGTAGACGACAATCACAGTTTTCTAGATTAATAGTTAATCATACGTGTTTTCTCCATACAGAGTCCATCAGAGTAACACACACACACGTAAACACGTAAAGATGTCTTGTATGATGAACCACTATACATAATATATCGTATGTGCATCTTGCGTGTGCATACTGTGGTTGAACAATGACTAACACGCAAGATTCAGATTTTTCAGATTCTGAATGCTTTCTTTTCTAAACAGGATTCAGATTCTGAATTTTCAGATTATGAATTTCAAGTTTGGAAGAATTTTTGGTGACGGCAAGATTGATCCTTTAGAGAATGCAGAAAAAGATGCCGGAGGAAACTTTTGGTCTTCTCTTGGAATGCCCCCCGGGCTATGATTGGTCGGACGAGGGGTCATAGATGGTTGTCTCACTGACCGCGACTGCTTGCGTACTTCACAAAGAAAAAAAGGTGAGAACGAATAGCTATGCTTCTGACACATACATGTACTTCAATGTACTTCAATGTGTTGGGTGTTAAGAATGCTCCATTTGGACATACATAGACACATTTAAGTAATACACATATCATTAAGCATATGAAAAAATCAGATTCTGAATTTTCAGAACCTGAAAAAGCTAAGTCCAAGCTGAGTCAAAGCTAAGTCGAAAGCTAAGTCCAAGCTAAGTCCAACCTAAGTCTCTTCTAAGTCTTAACTTATAAGTTCTAGTTAGAGGTTAGCTTTGACTATTTACCACTGACCGGGCAAGTAGGTTGAATTACTATTTACCCACCTGTCAGGTGAGGGTTGTTAGATTCTATTTTAGCTGCCTCGCTGTTCTCCTCTCTCCTCCTCGCCAGTCCTCCTTTCTCCTCATCGTCCTCCTCAACCGCAAGCGTCGGATGGCAGTGTTCCCTGCCGGACCGCAACCGCAAGTGTAGGACGCCGCTGATGCTGCTTCTGACTCTAACAGGTCGAGAGCCTCCTCTTCTTCGCGGGAGAGCATTGAGAAGCTCCTTGCAAGGTTAGGTGGATGATCATAGTCGATGTCCTTGATGTGTTCTGCACAGGTGGCAGTGATCACAACTGGTGGATCCTCTTTGAGGCGTGAAGCAGTACCACCAGATTGGTATCGCTGACAGTCCATGGCTACCAAGTAGGCTGCCAACATGAGCTCGCCGATCTGGTGACTTGAACCTTTTTCTTGCGCCCTGTCACGCTGATATCATGTCCTCCCAAATGCACTGACTTCAGTGTTCACAACCACGTCCTATAGACACTTCCCTTCATACCTGATGCACCCTCCTTATGCCAAATGTTTTCCCAAGCTGTGTTGCGCACGGTGACCGGGGCTAATTCGTAGACACCTTTAAGCCTTGAATGCTTTTAAGTTGCTGGTTAACCAGCACAGGCTTAGGGAAGATGCTGGGAGCACCTAGAAGGAAAAGGTAGCAGTATTCTAGAAAGGGGTTGTCTCTGGCAGGTTCTTGTTCGTTTCGATGATATTTTAACTTTTGACTTTGGCCATGATGTCCAGATACAAAAACAACGTACCCAGACATCATGAGAGTTCGGCAGAACTCCGCTGATCTTTTGCCAAAACCATGCGGTTCCGACAATGTCCACATACAAACTCTTGCACCCAAACATCCGCAAGATGTATCAATTTCATACCGACATCCGCAAGTTTCGGCCGAAACCCGCCGATGTCCGGATACAAATTTTCGTAGTCGGAGATTCGGAGATCATGAAGATTGCGTTATTGTTAAATAGAATTGCGTATGTACATGACCAAGAGGTTTCCTTGTCTCACTTTGTCATCAAAAAGCAAAAACTCTTTCAGTGACCAATCGCTGTTTTAGTTCAAACTTTTCCCTGGGGTCCGGGTGCCGGGAACCACTGGTCTGGACTTTGGTGCTACTTCTAACGGCGCAACCACAAACCCAAACACACAATCACAAACGCATCCACAAACACATCCACAAACACACAATCACAAACACACAACCACAAACACAACCACAATCAGAAACACTCAGTCACAACCACAACCACAACCACAAACCCAAACACACAATCACAAGCACACAACCACAACCACAAACACAACACAAACACACAACCACAACCACAACCACAAATACATCCACAGACACACAATCACAAACACACAGCCACAACCACACAATCACAACCGCTACCAGTACCACAAACACAATCACAAACACACAGCCACAAACACATCCACAAACACACAATCACAAACACACAGCCACAAACACAAAATCACAAACACAACCACAACACACAACCACAGCACACAACCCGAGGAAACAAAAGCAAAATCGAGAACTACAAAACTCACGACCATGGCAACATGCTCCTCGCTATGGCATGAAGACAAATGATTGAAATGTCATGGTGGGGATCACTCGAAGCAAAGTAATTTGTTGTCAGTGGTGCATCTGAACACGGCTCCTGACTGGGGAGAAGCAAAGAGCCTCCGACCCCCGCTGGAATTACAGCTCAAGGGTTTCGTACCATTGAGCTTTGCCTTTCGTGATGGGGGCGTCAGTACAACTGCATGACCAAAACCAAAACTCCACATAAGGATTTTGGACGTCCCTCAAATGTCTTTCACTACTCACAAGAACGAAACCACCCCAGCTCCGACCAGACCCCCGCCCCCCCAAACCGCAGTCCGACCGAAGGACTTTGCGCAAATGCGGAAACTAAAAGAAGAAACTGTATACAAGAAGAAACCATGCTGCAACATTGCATATTTGAGCGACCATCGTTACTTGTTGTCGTGTTTGTCATTGCGTGTTTTTTACATGTTATGTTCGTTATCTGCCACAGAATCTGTCTATATATCGTATATATATATATATATGCGCACGCGCAGAGCGGTATGTTCTATGCATCCTTGTTTCGGTATGTCCGCCTCCAAGTTGTGTTCAAGTCTGACTCTGATAGCGCCTGCTTGCGCGGCTTGACGACGTCTTCCTCCACTGGCGGCGCTTCGAGTGCGCGACGTCTGGCCTGAGCGAGCGCGGCTCCCTTTACGTCTTTAATATAAGCTCTTCGTTTGTTGAGTTGTGTTTCAACAAGGTCCCCGCTTCGTCGGCCCACTCTTGTTTTTGTTGCTTTCCGGCTTTTGTCCGCCAATCAGCCGCCCGGCTTCTCCTGCAGCAACGCTTTCACCACACAAGTCACCCTTGCTGTTTTATGGCGTGTTCTTGCGACAAAGCTTTCTGAGGTGTCTTTTTTGATGCGCTCAGCCTCGGACGCTTGACTCGCTGGCGCGTCGCGTGCCGGCGGCAGTTGCGGGCCACGTCTATCCCGCTGTCTGCGGGCAGCAGCCGTGTTGGGCCGAGCCTGAAGCACAATGCTCTATGCACGCGTTTGTGCATGACCCCCCCAGCTTTTCAACAACAATTCTGCCTGACGCACGGCCGCCCTGCAAGACGGAATATTGTAAGGCGCGTAGGTCAGGAATGGTGTGGGTCGGGAGGAGGGTGCGGCGTTGAGGTAAGAAGGACGTGGGCTCCGGCTGGTAGTCTTGAAAACGGCCTTTGCCGAGGGTACTACCGGCCAAGAAAGCTTCAAAGAGGCGCCCCGCCATGCATGCCGAAGCAGAAACATCTCGCCAGGTGGCTGTGTAGTGGAGGGTGGGTTGGATGTCCGTGAGAATGTGCTATGATGTGAGTTGGAGGCAGAGTGCCGAGTTACGGGCATATAGTGCTCCGTCTCGGGCACCTCTTCCATGTGAGCCCGAGGTAAATGCAGTAGTCACAGAAGTGAACGTCCTGCAAGGCCCCTTTGATCCACGGGGCCGTGGACACCAATGAAGTGTGTGTGGTGGAGGCGGCGTGTTGAGACTCCACTGCCTCGTCGTGCTTGTGGAACCGAGATGCCACCGCAACAGTCACTTCATGGATGCTGCTGTTGCGGTGGATCTCCCGAGCATTCCAAGCGACCGCTGTCGCCCACTCCACGGCCTCCGCTGAGGGAGGCCATGAGTAGGCACAGCGGGCACAAGGACACCCGGTCACCTGCGTCGCGTGCGTGCGCCGTGCGCGGATCGTTTCTTTGACCGCCCTGCACCGTCTTTCATTTCGAATCAACACTTCCCAGCCTCCTCGCACGTAGACCTGGGCCTGCTCCGAAGTGAAGTAACTTTTGTTATTGGAGAGATCAATTTTGTGGGACGATTAACCAAACTCTGCCGTAGTCCCATCTCCTCCCCCCCAAGTAAACACCATGGAAAAGCAAAACACAAAAGAACCACAAAAAATTCAACCCAAATTGAAAACAAACAAGCAAAACCCGTGTGCCCCGGTCACCGGCGAATTACAACCAAACAAGCCGCTGACCTTCAAACCGAGCAACCGAAACGCCCCGAAGGACCGTGACCTCGGACGCGTCGCGGTGAGTCCAAGCCGGTGCCGTTCGGTTCGAAAACCACCACCGGTGGAGTCACCATGAGTTGAACAGCTGCCGACTTTTCGATGTTTCGATGTTTCGATATTTCAGTGTTTGGTTTGAAAGACTTGGCAGCTGAGATAGGTGCCTCAGATTCGAAGAGAAGCTAGAAAGCATGACATATCATCATATCAACATGTTGAGGTTCAAGTGGCATGGTGATTGCACCTCCAGAGGGTTGCGGTCACAAAACATCTCTTTGGTACAGGTGTTTCTTCTCTATAGGAAGACCCTGCGAAACCATCCAATAGGAACATCATAGGAAAACCATCCCTATAAGGTTCTTCATTAAATCTATTCATGTTTGCTATGGTGCCTATATTGTTTCACTACTGAGTCACTACTTTTACTATTCAGAAGCCTTCTGAGGAAAGGCTTTGCCAAGGCGGCGCCCTCACCCAGCCAAACGAAAAGGAGCACTGTCCACTAGGAGGGTCGGATGTGGGGCCATCCTGCCTGCGTTCCCATGATGACTGGACACCTAAACTCGAATCCAGTGCTTGGGTTTCCTCAACTGAAGTGGCTGACACCTAGCAAACATGATCGATGGATAAGTTCCTCCGAGCAAAAACTATGTTGTCAGCACGGATGGTACTTGGGTAATTATTCAACCTTCCCTTTCTAGCTATTAATGTAACAGGTCTGTCGCCAGTGATTCTTCATGCATGGTTGCCTGGGTTGGTTCTAGGGTAAAGCAGAAACATGAACTTATCGTTTGTTTCATGACCACAAGCTAAGCTATGACCATGCAGGTGTATTGTCTAGCCAATGTTGCACAAAGACCATCTTCTCGAAAACAAGCAATCGCCTACCAACCACATAGTGCTTCAAGCTCCACTCTACTAGGTCAATGCTTCCCCAGTCTCAAAGAGTACTTTCTTTGGTTCGACCGCTCCAGAGCTGGAGTTTTCTTATGTTTTCCCACGCCAAGCCACCCGCGTGGGTGTGTCCCCGTGATAGTCTGTCCGGTAGTCTCCACCGCAGGCCACCAGGAAGCGCTTGGGGCGACAGCGAGAGTTGGCGTCCCGCCCGGGCCGCGTCTGTCCTGCCGTCGCGGAGCCGGTGGCACATGGGTGGGACCTGAGAACCCACCCACTGCGTGGGTGGGCCCTGTGAGGGGTTTTGTTCCCCACAACTGGTTTGGATGTTTCGTAAATGGCCTATCTATAGTACTGCACACTTCGTGGAATGGTGGAAGGGTCTGATGACCTGGAAGCCAATATGGAGCATGTGTGGGTGTATACAAAAAGGAGACCTCTCAAAGAACCCTGAACTGGTTAGCTACTGGTTGGGAGTCTCTCTATGCACGTAGGTTCTTGTGTTTCACACAGCAGGAAGCTTTCCCAACAATTCCAGCAGCGGTCCGCTCAGCAACGAATAGGCTGGGGATTTCCTGAGTCAGCAAAAGGATTGATCTCACACACAAACCTCACTGAGCCTTAACAAACACAACATGACAACCTTCATTGGTGTTTTAGGCACAGGCAAAACCAAATTTGTTGGACTCCCAAAATAGGGTACTAAATGGGCAACCAACAGCTGTCTTAAGGAAAAAACACATCCTTTCGACTCCCAAAATGGGGTACTAAACGGGAAACACCACGAAAAAACGGCAGGTCTCAGGGGTCTTTGAGCCAGATGCAAATCATTTCCAAAGAGGCCAGCCTAGATGGTGCAGCTACAGGTCTAGCAGTCTATAGCCAAGCACACATGCACACGCATGTGTAGAAGCTGAAGCTCATCGACTGGCTGAAAAGCATGTGCACCGGTCTCGCGTCAAAAGGGACAACAACACCACCCGCGTCGCATCCTTCCAAATCCCAACTGGTCAACTGGTCTTGGAGTTTTCGCCTCAACGCCTACGCCTCGCCCAGCGGCCAGTTGAGGCAAACCTCTATGAGCCGATCTCCCTCGTTCGAAGGCATGGGCATGTACCAATTCATGGCCTGAGCGACTCGCAATGGCAGCGGCACGGCTGCGGGGTTTTGTGGCTGCGGGGTTTGGTGGCCGCAGTCTTTTTTGTGGCTGCGGCTGCGACTCACGAGAGGTGAAGAATTCGAGAGGGGAACAATGTGGTGATGACCAGACCCTAGGGATCCAGTCGTACCTTCTCAGGTACGGTGAGGACGGAGACTATTTTGTGTAGGCGCCATTGTCGGGTCCAGTCGTATCTTCTGAGGTTCGGTACGACTGGATCCCTAGGGAGAGAGAGGCTGTTGATTTGTTTGAGATGCTGAGGAGCGAGCTGTGGCTGTTCATTGGAGATGATCCCTCGGTGCTCTGGAGCAGGAAAACAGGCTCCCAGCACATCCAGCGATCGACATGAAAGGACCGGCCTGGATGGTCTAGACAACACTCCGGACCACTCTCGGCACTCCCATATAATATGACTTAAGAAGTTGCTTGAAGCGAAGAACTTTTGGTTTTTGCACCCAAGCCTTTTGGGGTTTAGAACTTATTTACAGCAGTATTTTTTTAAGAAGGGAACCCAATGGGACGGTGGGAGGACAGCAACAACATGTTCGGAAAACACATCAAGGGCTGGGTTCCATGAATGATATAGAAATGAAGTCGAGTATCTGCACTGTAGATGCGTCGATTCCCATTCACCTCCCCTTCATTCTACCAAAAGAACAACTGATGAGATGATGGCAAAGCAAACCACAGGAGCAAGGGTCAAAATTGGCCTGCAAAACCTTCCTTTGCTGAGTAAAAAGCAAGGATGCGTGTGGAGTTTTCCCCAAAGGCCCAAGCTGTAGCTGTATGTAGCTATTGTTGCATGGGGAAAACCCTCGAAGCTACAGCATGCACTATGCACCTGAAACCATTGGCAAAGGGCCTCAAAGGGATCAACCCCCCCTCCAGATTGTCCATTCGTTGCCGGTCTTCTTCTTCATGGGCCACAACCACCATATGCCAAAAAAAGACGATCCGTGTTCTCCACGGTTGTTCAAAAAACACGCATTGGCAGTTTGCGCCCCTCTGGCCCAGAGAGGTCTCCTCTACTTAGGCACCAGTCCACCACCGAAGGCCTGCATGCCCAGTGGCGCATGGATGCTGGGGACAAGACTTCACTTTCAGATTGTCGATGTTGGCTTTGCCGTTAAACGGCGAGCAAAGCCTTGGGGTGCGGCACCGGTGCCAAACTGGTGCCTGGCACCGGTGGAAGGCCACCTTTGTGCAGATTGGAGTCCTTAAGAGTTGAAGATCCACATATGAAATCATATCTGAACATACTATGCAGCGTAGAAATCCACATGTCACATATATATATATATATATAACACTTAGTGTGGTGGACACTCTAAGCCCACCCGAAATCTCTTGAAATTATCGACTTGACCACTGAAAAAGGTCGACGCTACAGCTTGGCTGAAGAGGTCGGTCAAGTCCTTCTGATCCACCAGGCTATGATGCCAAACAAGCTCTTAGTAATTGGTCTTTGAGGCGAAGCGTGGGAAGTCACCAGCAGCCGGCCACGGAACTCGCGGCCGGTCGGAAGGTCACCACCGGTCGCCAGTTCAGTGGCGTGGGGGATCTTCATCCACGTGGGCCAAGGCGGAAGACATCAACACCCCACCAAACTAAACCAAAAGAAGTAGCGCGAATCCTAGTTCAATATCTCTCTTACCCCACGCCTCCTTATGACCAGGTTTCTGGATACGTATGACCAGTAGAGAAGCCGTGGTAATGTGAAGCATCTCCCTCTGCAAGCCAGTAATTGTTGATCAAGTATTGATCATATAATATACCGCATGGTATTGGCATAGGGAGAGCCCACAAGGATCGAAAAGAACCTAACGATATAGGCTGGGCTAAAACATGCTAAAACACACATGCATAACTAACTCCACAAGCCTGAACGTGCAATGCCGAGACTCCGATAGAGAAACTCGAACTCCAGCGGCAACAGTCTCTCTTGTGGTGCTTGAAGTCTCTGGCGCTCGTCGTGTAAGGCCAAGCGCTGTGGTGGGAGCGCAGTTTCATCCAAATGCAACATGCAGGGGTGCTTGTTCTCTTCATCTTGCAAATAGGAATCGTTTTGCAGCTCCTTGATATCATCCTCCTGGGGCTGGCTGGGCTGTTCTTCCGTGTTCGTCGGGGTCGGGGTCAGGTCCTGACCTCAAGCCCTTTCCATTTGAGGACCTTCCGGACCGGGTGTCAATCACTTGAGAAGAGGGAGACACGAAAGGTAGGACAGCGGGAAGAGAAGAGAATGCGAGAGGCAGGAACAAAAATGCAATGTTCGACATGGTGATTTATCCCCTCGGAGGCGACCTTTCGTAAATATATGTTCGTATGCACTTTAAATGTTCAAACATGTGCTCTCGAAATGTTCAAAAAGATTCTTAGGAAAACAAACTTGCCCCATGGCTCAGATCATCGGTGAGCATTGAATCGGAACATCATAGGATTTGAACTATCCTGAAACCATAAGAGGCTCACGAAGACGCTCCCCAGGAGAGAATTGACGTGCTTCACAAAACAAACTCTATAGGTATGTATCCCCTCGGGGAACACCTTTCGTGATTAGAATTTCATATTCACTCTTTCTGAATGTTCAAGAGGGTTTCAACTATCCTAAAATCATGAGAGGCTCACGAAGACGTTCTCCAGGAGAGAATTGATTTTAGAGGGGGGAGGGGGGGGGGGTCTGTATTGAAAAATCAATTCCAAGGGGGCGGGGGGGGGGGGGGCTGTATTTGAAAAAATAATTTCGAGGGGTGGGGGGTGGGGGGGGGTCTGAATTGAGCGATCAATTATTAGACCCGGACGTCCCAACACTTGCTTCGCAAGACAAACTCAAGGTATCCCCTAAAGGGCTACCTTTCGTGATCTTTGCAACAAACATCAACCAAACATGCTAAGGTGCATTAAAATGCATCCACAAAGGTGTTACGTCTCTTCAGACAAGGTGGTGGTGGGCCGTTGGGTACGACTGGACCCCGACGCGACTTGGCACCTACATAACAGTGTCCCAATCACATTCTGAGGTTCGGGACGACTGGATCCCTGGGGTTCGGTATGTTTGGTATTGGTTGGTTCCCTTGGGTGAAGGATTCGCCTTGACCCGGTAGCTTGATGAGCCACAGTCACCACACCGGCCCAACCGAACGGTCCACCTTTCGACGTCCAGGTTTGACCTGTTCAGTGCAGGACATGTCCCTCATTCCTGTGTTCCTCTACAGACCTCTGGGGTTGTTTTTGGGTCAGAATTTGGATATATCGGTATATCATCCCATTGCCAGCAATGCAACAGTGGATGATGATTGTTAGTCAACGCATGTTAAGGCCTTTGCCCCATAAATAGCGATGATATTGTACCAACATGTACCAACTGTTTACTGGTTTACTGGCACACGGCCTCGTCATGAGCTGTTTGTTGCTTAGCTACTGAGCTACCATCATTGCGTTCCAACATCGATGCGGCGGCCGAACGCAGCGACGGATAGGCGGCTGGACAGCCGTGAACGACGTCCATGATATCCATCAAACACCGATGATCTTGAGTATGCTATACCCAGACACGACCTGTCTGGGACTGCCATACATGCCGCCCCATTGACCCCCCCAAACCACCCAAACTGTAGGCATATATGGCAGTCCCATTAGTTGTGTCTGGGATAGTGGATTGAGAGAGGCCTTGGCACGTCTGGGCCCCCCCAGGGTGACCTAGGTGGTTGATACGGACCCCCAATCTGTCTAAGTTATCTTGGTGTCATCGCAGCATCTTCGCAGGTAATTCCAATTGGTTGGTTCTTTAATGAAACCTTAGTTGTGGATCATCCAAGTGCATCCAAGGCCATCACAAAACATACACAATTCCATCACAAAACATACGCTCTAAGGATTCCATCACCAGTTGCTCCAAGTCTCTGACATGTGTTGCAAACTTCCACGCCTACCCGATTCCAGGTGTCTCAGAACTTGTCTGACCTCCGTTTGCTCGTGCCTCAGTAGTTTCACCAATCGTGCAACGAGTCCAGGCCGGGTAGCTAGCCCCCCGACGAGACACAAACTCTGCGGTGTTTTTGCAGGGCACGAGCTGGGTGGATCTTGAACAGGATGTTCTTCCCCAAGGGATCAAGGGACTGACACCCTCCAAACTACCTGAACACATCCCCCCCCCCAATGTGGATACCTTTGCCTTCTAGCAAGTCAGGTTGGCCAGTTTCTAACGGGAAAAACCATCCATCGACTCCCACTGATCAACAATTTTGTTGCAGATGAGCAATTCTCGCCAGATCTGGTAGTCGATGTGAGTTATGCAGCTGGTGTGGGGATTTCCGATCTGCACCAATCATGCAATCTCGGATGTCGCTCCACACCAATCATCCAATCTTTTGATCTACTGGTAAGACTAGGACCTTCCAATCTCGGATGTCCTTTGCCTCCAATGATCCTCTGAAAGGACTGAAGAACCAAGCCATGCACCAATTGAGTCAAAATAAGTCTTCTCACTCGCTACCCTGGATTTGGAACGTGTCCCCTGATGTAACTAAGTACCCTGGAAAAGAAAAGAGCTGCAGTGGTTTCAGAGTAGATGGCACCAGTTACCCCAACTTGTATGGTTTAGATGGACCCCCATCTAAAAAAGACTTCTTAGGGTGCCACTGCCACCTACTCTGAAACCAGCAGCTGGTGTTCCATGATAGTCAAACGCTGTGATTCACTGAGTAAATGGGCACATGAAACTCATTAAAAAAAGAAAAAAACAAAACAAACAAAAACGGACGCAAATAACAGTGCTCAGGATCTGCAAGTGTGTTCCATGCTGAAAAAGATAAACATTCCATGCAACTCGGGCAACAGGGAAGCACCCCCCCGATCATGTGCAAACACAGATGCTTCCAATAGAGGCAATCTGAAGGCTTCCACTCTGACCTGGCTACAACGGCTGGAGCCTTTCATGGTCTAACATGCCTGAGCAAAGTGAACTTCTATGCCTCTATGCTGGGATGTCTCTCTCACCCGTAATAGAACACCAAAAACACCGAAGGGGCGAGGCCAGGCAAGGGGCAAGGTGTCTGACTTCTCCGGTCCCAACCCAGTTTCTACAACGATGTTCAGCCAGGAAGGCAACATACTCCCTGAAACAATCATGGAAGTGGAACAGTTCGGCCACTGGAAGACTACGGTTCTTCTACAAGTGAGGCCTGCGCAGCTTCCATTGTTTGAGGGAGGGTAGATCAATAAATCACCTGACGAGGTCACATCTGGTGAACGTCGGCCAGTCGACCCTCATTGCTACGCGCGCGTCTCGTCTCGGAACGGTCTCCCACTGCGGTCAACGTCTTAACACTTTGGGGTTCGAGCGCCATTGAAAGTGCCTCGTCTCAGCAAGTCAAGCACGATCTTGACCAGGTTTGTGGAACTCAGTCAGTCTTATGGTCCCTACGAGTACATCATGTCATACATTTGAGAACGAAGGACGTCCTATATGAAAACAACCACCACCACACCACAACAGCAACAACCTTATTCACATCTCTCCACATGTTGCCGAGAATAAAACACTCCTAAACAAACATGGAAAGACATCCCCCAAAGAGAAATATATAATAAGTTTTTCAAGCTAGCTGCGACAGGCACAAGAAAAAGCCATGAACCAGCATCTTCCAAGCAAGCCGTTACATCCCCAAGCATCTGCCACCTATATCAAGAAGTGTCTTTCAAGCACCCAACAGCGCTTCCTTTGAAGGCACCCATTACACCACAAAATTCTGGGGTGAACCGACGAGACGTGAACGAAACTGGGCGGAACGACTGCTGCGCCATCTTCCAGAATTCGCCATACGTACCTAGCCAAGTCGGCGGCATTCAAGACACAGTGGATACTTGAATTTGCTGGCCAGGAAGCTGAACAAAACAAAAACCACCACACATATGAACCAGAAGGGGATTGACACCTTGCGAAAAATTGAAACATCACCTTAAGCAAAACACATCGACCAAGGGTGAATGGGAAATATTGTTAAGGGGATGTTAGGATTGCTCTAGAGTCCATCAGAATCACAAACCAGCGGCACCAAACTGCTTGTCAGGGCTTCATGGAAAACAGGTGTAGGCGTAGGGAGAAGACACACTCCACTCATCTGGGAAAACACATCAGAAATAACTTTCGACTTCCTTCAGGTCTCCCTTAAGGTCTTTCAAGATTCAACCAGAAAGGAAAGGAACAAATCATTGATTGGTTTTGATTGAGCCAGACATAGCCAGGGGAAACTGACATTAACACAAAGTAGAGCAGACTTTCAGGTAATTACCTAAACTTCAAACATAGTAAAAGTATATAAACACTTGTCAACCTATAGACACAAATGTGGCAGAGTTGGGTTGTGACATCCTACTTACAATCTGAGGATTCAGTGTTGAAAAAAGCAGGTCACTCATGAGTAGTTTGATGATCAAAGTTCTATCCCTTTCAGGATTCTGCTGAACTTTTACCGCCGGTCTTCAACCGTCCGCGCCTTTGCCGTAGAGGCTAGGAGACTGGCCGACGGCCACAAAGGTTCCTGTCGCTCGCGACAGATTGAGCCCCCCTACTCAGCACCTTTCCAATTGGTCCAGTGGTTTCTGGAGGTACTGAGTCCAGCTTCAAGGAAGTATCAAACCAGCTTCACACAAGCTCGACTTCAACCCCATTCATATCAGATGTCAGTGGGACTTCCAGAGTAAAATGAGTTACATATTTCGACTTCCAGGGTAAAAGTGATGACAAACATGATGACCTACTGATCCACCACCGAGGGGAGCTGTCTGGGACAAAACACTCCGATTCGTCGACATGCCCGAAAAACCTCTGCTTGACCTCTGCTTGACCTTCCGGGTCACGTCGCATGGTTGTGGATAGTTACCGGGAGGAATCCGTTGTCCTTTTAAACAAGTCATGGCCCTTGAGTTTCACCAGGAATTCGTGAAAATAAACTATAAGCTATCAATGATTGTGCTTCTGTTTTGGTACCCGACCTGAATCACAGTTGCGCATCCAAAGCCGACGTACGAGTGAAGAGGCTCCAAGTCCTTATCATGTCATGAGTGGGAGGTCTCATCTCATGGCACCCCAGCAACTACTTTAAAAAAGAACTCTAACAAACCAAATCAAACACATGCCCTTCCATCTCCTACCCACATACCTTCTCAGAAGGTATTTGGATCCATAGGGCTTCTGAACAAACAAAAGCAAACACAACTACCAACGGCCAAATTCGAACGCCTGGAGCGAGCCCGAAAGTCAAGAGCGCCAAGAGCTTCTCTGGGTCACTTTCCAGGTAGCTTTCCTGGGTGACAGCTGTCCTTCTCACCCCAAACCCCAAAAGAACTTCTCAGTCTGGCTGTGGGACAGCAAGGTTTGCCCTGCTTAGCCTAGTTGGATTTCTGAAGAAAAAGCCTCAGTTGGGGAAAATTCCTCGGGGCATGGGTTCAATACCAGGGTTCGTAGAACCTTCGACAAAGGACCGCAACAAAACACCTATATATATATAACCATGCGCTGATCATAATTTGCTCAATCCTTTCTGCGCAATTGCACGATGTTGCCCCTGCTGTTTTAGGCGGTGCTGTCTGGTGTTGCTTCTACCTTCACCTCAATCACCCTTGCATCCGTAATTACTGGTGACATGTATTCTTTTCGCATGCCACCCGTGGAATTTAATTAGAGGTCATCATCATCACCATCATCATCATCATCATCAATCCAGGGGCACGAAGCTGTGACCGAGCTGACTCTGCATGCTTGCAGTTCAACAATCCGCCCCCCTTCAATCATGCCCCGACACAGCTGCTTTGCCGCAGTTCCATGGCAATTCATTATCCAAGTTCACCATATCACCCTAGGGCTCCAACCATCTCCTCAAAAAGGGGTTGGACCCCCCCTGGCACCCATCCTAACCGTCTTAGTCCCACCTTCTGAAGAAGTACGACTGGAGTTCCACCCACGACCCACGCATGCCAAGTCTCCCAGTCAGGTCTCCTTAGGCGTGCGGATCGGAGCGAATCGCTCGTGCCCGGTCGAAGACGAAGGGAGAGCTGGGAGCTATCAGCTAAGCTGTGGCACCATCACACCAGAAAGTGGAGAAGAATCCCCCCGAAGAGATATAACATGATATAACTAAATGTGAACCCCACTGCAACAAAGCAAAGCGTTTCAACGGATATATCAAAAGAATCCAAAGTGTAAACAAAAAAAACAACAAATGGATAGAACAGTGAAACCATCTTGAGACCTGTTCAAGGGTGGCATGGATTCTCATTCAAACAGATCCCCATTGTTTCATTTGCCTCTGAAAGAGGTGACTGGTCAGTAGTGCACTCAGGTCCTTGTGGAACAGAGTTGATGGGGTTAGACCTTCAAAGCTAGTTGATTCACCTCAAACCTGTTTGTTGTTGTTGTCGTTGTTGGTCGTGTTCTTCCACTTTTAGGGTGACTCCTGCCACGGAAACAAAACATGTCTACTTCCGTCACCAGGTCGTGATGGTAATCAAAAAGGGACCAATTGCAAGAACTCCGGAAACATGGACATGCACGGTGAACGTATGATTGGTCTAGTTATCCAGGAAACCAGTTTGTTTGATCATGCTGTTCTTCTTGCGGCCTACTGTACTCAGGGTAGAAATGGACAACATCTAATACTTCACTTTCAAGATTTTCCAAGCGGAACGGCCGGCATAGGCCGGCCAAGGCCGCACAACTCACAAAGGACCATCCTGCATTTAAGTAACCATCCCAGCACCCTTTTCTGGCGACCTCTTGGTCACCAGGACACACTGGACCACTGGAGGGTCCAGGTGTGTAAGCATCCGATGTTTAGATGTGCTCGTTAATTTTTGCGGAGGCTCCATTTTCCTTGCGCCACCTCTTGCAGCACCCGTAGCCTGCTCTGCTCCTCCTCTCTAGGGGACAAGCGCCTCAGCCCCAGCTTCGAGGTGACAAGTGCCAGGGTGAGGAGAGACCGCGGAGTTCTTCGGAACTGGCCCGGACTTTGGGGGTTGATCCATTTATATCCGCAAGACATTTCTATCAGTCAATGACAGGTTTACATTGTTCCTATGAGCCCGTTGTAGGTACCAAACAACCACGTGGCCACCAAGTGAACCACTACAGTACGTATGTAGTTGTCTTGAACACAAACACCTCAGAGTCACAGTGAAACTTTGTCTCCTGCACCTGTTCTCAGTGTTTAAAATAGGACGGCCCGTGAACCTGCAAAGGATCGCAGGTTGGTCCACAAATCGTGCCCAGGCAAGCAAGAAAAAACACAGAAAAAACGCTGATGAAGACATGAGGAGAAGGTCTCCGAAACTCATGACCAGTCTGGAAAAATCGTGATAAGTCTGGGAAAAATCGTGACTCGTGACCAGTCTGGGTGCCACCAACCTGCTAACTGCGGGCTTCGATTGAAATCCACTGCTTCATCCGAGAGGCGCCAGCGACCTCCAAAGATCAACCACCTGACTGAGCACATGTGCTGTCTTTTTGTTCTTTCCTGGGGTCTCCAAGAGCTTCTCAAGTGATTGAGCAGTATACAGTATTGTGCGAAACCCATCCTAGAAACGACCATCCAATCATCCAATCTATCAAGGGACATGGAATATTCTCTGGGTTGCAATAGGTCGAAATGATGCGTGGCCGCAACCCGGCATCCAGCTTTCGAGGTTGAACCTCACATTCACATTCCCCTAGCCAAATTTAGGTTCTATCATGTTCTATCTATAGACAACCTGGATATGCAATTTACCCACTCAAAGTACGATCATCATTGATCATGTTAAATTTCAGTGGTATCGACGATATCGATGGAGGAAGGTGCCTATCAGTAAGTATAACGCAGTATTTGCAACCATGATGTCCATCCATAGATCGCAGTAGTCATTGGATGTCTTTGGATAGTTTGGTCACAGTATCAGGGGCATTCTTTCAAACGGGATACATTGGAACCCAAACAACCTCGGAACCTTCACATACTGTAGCTATCTGTAGCTATCAGTGTTCACTTTTTTTGAGACAAATGTGCTTCTATACCACTTTTCTTCCTTTCGGCATTTTGCCGGAACCCGGGAAGGACCAGCAGATTCTCGGGGCTGCCGAGGCCTTGTTGGAGAATTGAGTCCAAAGCCTGGCGCCGTCCGCCCACGGACCACGGCGGAACACGCGCTGAAACGACGAAGAACGTGGACCGGCACGTGGGTCGTTAGAGGGCGATGGATGGCGGGGTGTGTGGACCCAAAGCAAAAGTCCTATGAGAATTGGAATGCCCTATGGATCCACATACCGAACCTGAGGTACGGTGAGAACGGAGACTATGATAGGCTTGGAGGATCCAGTCAGACCGAACCTGAGGTGGCAATGGATCCGAGATGGATGTTGATTTCTACTGACATTCCGCCCAGTCGACCTCCAAGGATTCAACCTGGCCAAGAAGGTTTCCTCCGAAAGCAAACGGGTCACTGGGAAAATCATGCCAACGAGTGGCCAATCTCCTGTTATGCAGCTAGAATTCGTTTGTTGATCTACATCGGACAAACTCCACACTTTCAACCTCTTGCCACAACCTGGCTTTGAAAACCCTAACCCCTAAAAACCTTAGGGTTTCAAAGCTTTGGACCTTAGGGCTTCAAAAACCCTGAAAAGTCGGCCTTCGCCGATCTTCGCCTCCTGCGCAGTTCACCGAACAAATGTGGTGCAGTTCTTCGAAGCTGCCCAATGGTTCTACAGTCGCATTGGTGCTTGCACAGGCAAAACAATATAACATGCAAGAACATGAGACACCACAAAGGAGCTATGTTACTATTTTGTTTACCAAGTTTCAGGCAAACTTTGTAACAGTTGGGGTGAAAGTAGCCAGCCATATCTGCACTTGAGTCACCGAAGGCTTACAGCTGGGCTGGTGGAGGTTTTGGGCCGTTGGAGACCGTCGATGTCCCCATGGAGGACGGCCTCTGATGGATGATATCTTTCTCCACCTTACAGGAACAGTTGTCGGCGTTGAACTGGAGACACAGCCCGAGACACGGCACCGGCAGATGGGTGCAGATGGGTGCACATGGGTGCACATGATCAACATGTTGGTTCTTAATGAGTGTGGAAATGACTGCGTGTTCGGCCCACTTTTGCAGTCAAGATGTATGCTGTGTGGCTGCTTCATTGACCGGAAGCCTTTTGAATATTTTTGTGGACGCACCACTAACAGGGGCCCTTTCAGCGTTTGACAGCAAGGATGGCTCATGGGTCATTTTTTGTGCAAGCGGGGCTTGGCAGCCTATAGAGGCTACAATGCAGAACATATTGTGTCGTTAGACCCTTAGCAAATGTGGACATCCCACTTTCTGCTAGCACGGAGCTAGCACAAAGCTAGCGCCACATCTTACGACATTGGGTCCCCGTCCCCTTCGATTTTTAATGAGGAACTTGGTTTTGCAGCTCTTGCTTGGCAGGGACAGACTGTGACTTGGACATCTCGATTTGAGTGCTGAGGCATCCCTTTCTTTGTATATATATATATATATATATCATATATCTCACTCGATTGAATCTCATCCTCACAGGAAAACCAGGGCAAACCTCAAGTCACACATACCCTGGATGTCCAAATGACTCAACACTCGCCCCGTAACACTTGGTGGATTATGACGACCAAATGGGGTAAATTGAGAAATGAGTTAGTTCTGCCAGGACCCTCCAAGGGGTGCCCAATGGAAGCCTGTAGGTAGTGTGGGGTAGTTCATTGGACACCCCTTGGAGGGTCCTGGTGGAGGTCTTAACATGTTTTAATCCACTGCCCACAGCCTTGGGATCATGAACCCGCAAAGACCCCAGAACGGAACAACACAATGAACTCCGAAGTCTCTGCCCCAAGGCTGCATTACACCAGACTTGGAAGTCTTGCGCATTTCGATCGATTGACTGCCCATCTTCGCCCAATCACTTGGCCCATGACCCACACCATCCCATGGAAGATTGACCTGCATCCTATACCCCGAAATCACCACCCCTCAACACATCCCCAAATGTAAATACACCAATGCCATCCCTACTTGGATGCCGTAGGGCCGGATCCAGTCGTACCGAACCTCAGGTACGGTGATGTAGGGCGTGGTATGGGTTCGACGCTATGGCGGCCAAGTCACAGACTGCAGGGTCGGCACACCCCCGAGCTTCTCTCCAGCAGTCTGGTCGCCCCGACGAGCTTTCAACCATTCAAGGCCTTGGATGCTGGTCATCAGGGTCTAGGTGGAAGCAAAACAACAACGACGAGCATTCAATGGGCGTCAAAACACCGGTGAGAAGTGCTAACATCATCTACAATCAATCCATGGGGTTCCATGGGGTCCATGGGGTGGATTTTGCATGAAGTGTCCACTTCAGGGACGTCATGATGTGATCATTTAAAGCCACTTGCAACTTGCCCGTTTGATAGCGGTTCCAGCTTGAATGTATTCCCTTGCCCCAACACCCGCAAAAATCCTCCTGATGAGTCAGTGAAGTGTGCTGGATTTGTTCATCTGAAATAACCCCAATCATTACACTCCCAAAGACTAACATGGACCTTGAGAATGGCACCTGAAAAGGCTGTTTTCCTCTACAAACCACGGGTATTCAGGGTCCATGTTCGTCTTCAGCGGTTGGTGATTCATGGAGCATCCTGACGTGATTGCTTCGGATGTGAAGTTCCATGGCTTCGGATGGCCGATCACCACCCCAACCGAGTTCTCGAAGGTCGTACCCGAACCCGAAACCAGAGAGTCGACGTTCAAAGGATGTGACAAACAACGTGCTTAAACACTTCAAAAAAGGGAGCCCCCCAAGTGATACCCCTGGCAGGATTCGTGGAAGGAAGACACCTGGCATGCGGAAAGTGCTCTCCCAACGAAACATTCCGTGCGGATGATCCAGCTTTCTCCACCGACCGACCGACCGTGCGGATGACCGAATGTCAACTCACTCGAGCCTCCAGCAAACACCTCCGCAAATATATAAGTGTGGACGGCAAAGATAGACCCTTCACCACTCAAGCCATGTTGACACTCAAGTGCAGGTCTGTTAGTCGGCCTATCAAACCCTAGGGATCCAAGTGTACCTTGTCAGAAGGTACTTGGACCGTCCAAACCTACATAACGGTGTCTCCAATCACATTCGAGAAGGTACGACTGGATCCCTGCAGAAAGGTTATGACCTAAGAATCCCACACAGTCCATCCATCTACTTGTGCACGGACGGCCACTGCAGGTGTGGATCCAGACCCTTAATGAGTCTGGTGCGAGGAAGCTATAGACTCCAACAACCCCACCTTGAACTTGCGGAACCTGAAGAAATAGCACATCTGCCCCAGAAGTGGCTTCACCCAGAAAAGGTCACATCAAAGGTTATACCGGTTCTACCGGTGATACGAAGCAAAGCCGTACCGGGTGTTTCACCCCATGGATCGAACGAAGGAACAAAACAACGGTACCGGGTCAACTGACCCCCCCTCAGTTTGGAACCAATGAAGGGCCTGAACCGCTTCGCATGTGCCACCAGCGAGGTGTCACCAATCCCTCGTTCTGGGGTGATGCCACCAGCGGAGTGATGCCACCGGTCTCACATGCCAGATTTCGCCTTCGTCTTCGCTTTCAGGTTCAGAGATGTTCAGCAGATGTTGAGGGGATCGATCAGGCAAGACACAGAGCGTGTGGAGCAAGATAGGCTCAGAGAGGTATCCCCTATCCTCAGTGAGGGGCAAGAAAAACATTCAATGGCCGTGGTTCTGGAATCCCTAAAATCTTCCCTAAAACCGTGTGTAAGTTTGGGGATGGGGTTGGAGCTTGGAATAGTTTGGATGTCTTCCTTGCAGTGAAAAATACCCCTGGTGTACCATCCACTGGTGCTTTTGGGTGACCATACCACTTAGACTTGCTCATGAACCCCGGTAGGTGCCAGCAGGATCGAAATGGATAAAGCTACTGATAAATGCTATAAATGGTAGTAGGAAAACATGTCGAATCCCATCTCGCCGGACGAGAAGAACAAATCAGTCGATCCAAAAAAAGGTCTCCAGTCCTACAACAGTCGACCCTTTTTGGTGTATCTCAGCAATCCTAGCGTCTCTCACCTAAGATCGACCTGGCATGAGGACCTAGCGTGTCCTAGCGCAACCACTGGGAGATGCGGTATGATACGGAACGGCGAATTACGCCAAACGCTTCAACCCCGCTCTGAGTATGATGTTTTTGTTGGTGTTTTTGTTTTTGTTTTTTCACCACCGTCCGACAGATCCCATTCATTTGACATCATCGACCGATCTTGACGCATTGCATCCATGTGTCCGCTTTGGAACGTGCATCCACCGTGTTCTTGAGGCGTTTCAAGTCTTCGTCTTTCAGCTCGTCTGAACGTGGCGACGGGCGCAAACAGGGCACGGAGCTCGGTCGTCGGGTGAGGATCCAATGCACTGAGTCGGATGTTTGAATTAACCTGATGATAGAGTCCTTAGAGATCCAAGTACTGTCTCAGAAGGTACTTGGACCCTCCAAACCTACATAACAGTGTCTCCAATCACCTTCTCAGAGGGTATGTAGATCTAGGGAATTAAGGGGGGGAGAATCACCACCCATAGCACCTGCCTGAGTCCGCTCTGATGTACATGATGTACATGTCTTTACTGTACCACGAGAGCATCATGCCTGCCTTGAGTCAGGTCTCTGAATAGATCTGAATATTACGGGGTCGGTGGATCTTCTTGGTTCACATGTTGTTCTTGGTTAATAGGGAACAACCACTGGAACAAACTTCTTTCACAACCATGTGGAGTCGTGTGGATTTTCGATTAGCAACATCTCTTGATATGCCTCTTTTTGCTCTGGTCAGTCAATATCCGCCACTGTTGTGTGTTGCTGCTGTTGTGCTCGTGTTATTGGCAACCAACCAAACGACCCCTAGGTCACCCCTGGTCATGACCATTCGACCCGGCTCACATGACCACGGTTCGGTTGGTCTCACGGCGTCCCCTTCCCGGTTTGGTTGGAGGTTTGGCAGAATCGACTCTGAAAGTCACCCGAGAATCGACTCACAATTGCATGCCAGCAGCCGGAGACTCACACTGGTCAACCTTTTGAAAAGGATCTTGCGCTGATACCTTCTCAGGTTCGGTATGACTGGGCCCTCCAAGCATATATCATAAATAGTCTCCGTCCTCACCGTACCTCAGGTTCGGTATTAGGGCATATTCCTACTTGGTTTGTCGTTCACTCCTGGCCACCTTCGACCTTCCGCCTGAAAACCCACGCCTCGAGTGTTGACAGGAGTCCGTAGCACATCGCAGCTGGGAGTCAAGGAGAGAGCCGCTGCTAAGATACCTGGGAAGATGGGCCGATTCCTGCACCAGCACAGCTCATGATACGGCTCATGGGCGGGCGCCCTCAACTACAAGTGATATAGACTTCATAGACCCTGTGTAATTATACAATATATATTGTAAGTACTAGCAATTCATCAGGATTCTTGCTTCTATCATCTATCCCGTCTATACCCTTGAAGAGAAGGTCACTCGAAGCAACGGCCCTCCATTCTCAACAAACACACCCGGTTCGCAGGGTTCGTGGCGCCTGTGTTCTGGAGGCCCAGCCCTTGTTTGGAGTCCTCTTGGCACCTTTGGATCCCAAAATGATCGCCTCCCAAAAATGACAACGTGTTAGAGTGTTCCAATACAATTTAAGTGCATGGGCATCTACTTTTCTCTCTTTGGAGGATTTTGGAGGTCTATAGGGGAGGGTTCACGCGAAAGGACTGACGGCATGAGGAGTACAAGGGAAGTACTCCAACGACCGTTTTGTGGAATCAATCAGTGATGGAAGTCTCCCTCTCTCTGTTAGAGACAGGACCACTGATGCGTGCACTCGCCGGCACCGGCACAAAAGCCCAAGTGGCAGGCACTTTCGCTCATTCCCATGGCCCAGCCAATGACCACCAACCGGGCCAAAACCACCTTCCGGTCAGGACGCCGGAGACGACGGGGTGATATACCCCCGGGAAGCCGTTCGGACGGACGGAAAAGAACACGGACGCAGGAGAAAAGGTACTAGTACACCAATCTTCCAGGGCTCACTGATGGTAGTTGATGGATGAAGTTCACTGGCTTCCACATAATTTATTCAGTGACAACGTAAGTGCTTGATTAACAACAATGAGAGACGTACAATGGGATAAGCAAAAACAATGTTACTGTTCATGACCAACAAGTTAAACTGACGGTGGTGACCAAAGATCAAGGTTCAATGTTGATCCGACATCCTACGGGTTTTGAACTTGCTATGGGTGATGGACATGTGAGCAGTTGGTCAGTGGCTGATTACACTACATGTCAGTACAATAAGTATCTATATACAAATATATTATGCACTTGGATGCGATTAAAATCTACTCTAGACTCTAGACTCTATATATCGTTACTCTAGCTCAAAACTGGTAATTGGCAGGTGGGTGTTGGACCATGTTGTTCCGCAACGTAGCAAAACCTGTGATCTTGGAAAAAATACACATCTTTTCACCATCTTCACCGTGTTCGCCTTTTAACAACATCTATGGCAAGTTGTCAACTTTAGGAACTCACCCACTTGACAACAACACACCCATGCGAGAACACGCACCGAATACAACGTGCAGGCCCAAAAGCATCATCAAAACATATGGCGTACCCGCGTAGCCAATCACCTGCTCCTTTATTGGCTACGCCGATCCCATGAGACCCCGACCGCCGATCCCTTCAGACCGCGAACCTTCGCGCCTCGGTTGGAAGCTTCAGGCAAGCGATGCCCAGTGCAGTCGGGCGCTCGTCCAATGTTAAGGTGCCGAGATCCTGGCGCAATCGTCCCACCCGGGCGGCATCGCGCACGGAGGCGAAAGGGGGCCGTTCTGATCCTGGGCGAAAACATCTGTGGATTGGCCGAGATCCTGGCATGGCGGCGCTGGGGGCGTGTCGATGAAAAACATGGAAATACCAGGGGAGAAGCACACAAACTTTTGATTTTGCTGCTCAGACAGGCCAAGGACCTTCTCCCCGCGACATGCTTTTTTGGTTGCAATCTTTGCACGATGACTCATGACACTTGTTGAACATCACATAAGACACGATCACAAACGAAAAAACAACTCAGAGATGAACAAAAGTAAAAGGTAAAGAATCCAATATGGAACGTTCTGTCTATGTTTTGAGCGTTTTCCCACCTTGCCCATTTTTACCGAAGAACCTCGACTGCCGGGTAAGGGCGTCACGGGCTCGTCGCATCGGGTCCTGTAAGTCCCGGACGGCCGTGTTGACTCGGGACATGCCAGGTGGAGAAGGTAGAAGCTCCAGAATGTGATCCTCAGGCGGTCGCCACTGGGAGGCTGTCCCCATGCTTTGTGGCTGCTTGCAAATCCCTACTGCAAGGATTTGCCTTGGAAGTCGTATCCACGGATGTCCAACTCATCTGTCTAAGAACACCATGAAGACACAGAAGACCGCCTGCACTGGCAGTGTTGTATCTCCCCTTGGCCATGTCCAAGCCGCCTTGAAAAGGAGGTGACGCTTACCTGCTTAGGACTGCGCACTCACAGCTAAACATGACTTTCTCTGCTGCCGAATCACCAGCTTCAGCTCATTCAACATCAAGTCCTGCGGCAAAACCCACTCCATTGTCCCAGAGGGTCCCCAGATACTTCCGCGCGGAACCCGGAACCGGGATGGACTGGATGAACCGAAGACCATCATGTTGCACCTCCCCAAACCATGTGAAGGATGTCCTTTTGAGCCTTTACATGACTCACCTAGCCCAGCCACTTTCTTTTGTTCCAACTTGGACACCGAGCCCGGCCCAGAGTAGTTTGTAATCACAAGGGGGGGTGGCTGCACAGAAACAACCACAGATGAGAAATTGAATGACCGATGTTTGTGGCACAAATGCTGCCTAAGTCACTAGGTCATGTGAGCTATGTGAAACATAGTCCTGTGACTTAGGCATCAGTCACGAGTGACTCTGCGCCTGTGAGCATCAGTCACGAGTGACTCATGGCGTCCCTCTACACAAGGCGCCACAGTTTGGGACCGAGGCCAGTGACCTGGGCATCCTATTTTCTCGCTTGGTCGCCAACAGTTTCTCTTGGGAAGGATGACTGGTCCGCTGCCACAGCACCCATTGCCTCAGGTCGATTCAGCCCATGGCGTCACCGACGCGACCCCCCTGCGGCGATCAGAGACCACCCTGCGTCACCCTGCCTCTTCAGGCGCCCAAGAGACCACACCTGTGACCTGAGATGTGGGAAGCCGGTTCTGCAGGTTTGTTGGGGTGGTGTTCCATGTTGGCAAGCAGTGTGCATTAAGGCTTGGGATGGCGTGTCTGAGATAGTTTCTGGAGTCAGCAAACCACGGGAGCTTCTGAGAGTCCCCTTTCCAAGCATGCCAGCCGCGATAGAGGCAAAACTGTGGAGGCCCAAGTGCCAAAGACTTTGAGTTGTGCCAGGGTGGCGCCTTCGGCTTGTTGCAACACTCAGTTTGGAGTCTCAGCACCAACCAGCTAGGATCCAATCTTTCAACCCTAAACACTTCTGTGGGCCAAACAAACTAACGAACCGACTGAACCAACCGACTGAACCCTTCAGTTTTACCTTGAAAAGTCCACCTTTCTGCACCTCAAAGTTCGGTGTCGGTGACCGGTAATCCATGTTTCATAGTATCCGGTGTGGTTCCCAGTTCCGACATCCGTTCAAGTGAACCGATCAACACTTCCAGACGCGTCGGACCATATTCTTTGAGCGAGAAACCTTGTCTTCGACCTGCCACATTCCAGCAACACCATCGAAGAAGTGCACGAAGTGCTCGTTCTGCACAGTGAGGGTTTGACACAAGTACAGTTGGGAAATGGTTGGACAGTGATGGCAATAGTTGTTGCATGCAACTACTTAGACAGAGAACGACGAATTCCACACCTTGGACATCATTCTTCATAGAGAGTTGCTATAAAGATCATTCCAAACCACAACAACAATAACTCAGCTACAAGTAATCATCGCCATTTCCACAAAATACCTGCTTTGCCTTCCAACTCCGCAAACCACTGGCCATCCAACGTCCAACGTCGCTGCCTCATGGCCCCTCAGCAGGGCTGGCAACCTCGAGCGGATGAGCGGTGGCTTGTTGAGGCGCTCGGCCAGGTAGGCCCCCTCGAGCGCCACCTGGAACATCCACAAGAAACATAGCACGCTGGAGCTGGAATGTTACCAAGGGGCTAGGTAGGCTCAGCTAAGGACTTTAATTAGGTGCAAAAAGTAAGATCCTTTAAGAGATTGCTTGCGAACATTTTGGGATATGACTCATCACTTGTTAGGCATTCCATATCCCCGTAAAGACTAGTTCCATTGGTCAACAAAAAAGTGGATGGCAGCCGTTGCCAAAGTCTCTAGCAGAAGAGTCACTTCCTTCTTGCAAGGTCACCAACACCAACAGTCTTCAAACAAATTGAATATCATTACTATTCATTACTGTTGTGGCCAAATGATCGGTCCTGGTCTGCCAAAACTTCTCCACTTCCATGCCATCACCCAAAACACTCACATGATCAGCAACAGTTTTTTATCTGTTTCCCGTGGCATGCGTATCCAATTCACAAAATTGACACCTTACTTGTAGTGGATTTGGATACGATACGAACAATCTTTCTCAGAAAGAGCCCTGCATGGCTTAGCTTTTGTCTTGAAAATGGTCAGTGAATCCAGACACCACCAAGAACACCACCAACAAACCATTGGTGTTCAATTGGAGTGTTTCATGGTTGTTGGTGTTCATCGTCTCCAACGCCGACCGATTCCGCCGCCGCCTTCGTCAAGGAGGACCGTTCCACGCCGCTGTCGTCGAAGTCCTGTAGCGCCTCATAGAGCCTCAAGCCGTTCGCTGCCGGAACGTGCGGCCAGCTGCACACACCGGTTCCCGGAGGGTGAGCACTGGGTGTGTCCAAGCCGAAACCGGAGACCAAGAACCCGAACGCACACAAGTACTCGAAAACAAATGGCCAAACAATGTTTGACAGTCTTGTGGCAGTCTTGTGGTGTACTCTTTTGCCATCTCTTGTAGGGCACTCTTGTAGTACTCTCTTGTGGTTCATTCTTCTGCGACAACTCTTGTAGGACACTCTTTTGGGACACTCTTGTCGGACACTCTTGTAGGACACTCCTGTGGGACACTCTTGTGGCACAGCCTTGTGAGACACGCTTCTAGGACACTCTTCCGGGGCACTCTGGAATCATCCTCCGCACTTCATCATTTTACTTTTCTGCGCTATTTCGCACGAATCTGACATTTCATGCTTCCATTGCGAAAACTCCTCCAAAACCTACCCCAAAACATGGTAGGGCCTTTTGTCGCTCTCAAACAGTTGCGGCAGCGAAAGAAGCAACGTCCTGCGACCCATGCTAGACTCCCTCCGGCTATCTCAGGATCCCAAAGTTCAGCGAGAACCTGTTGCTACACATTCGGGAAACAATGCAAAGAGGGTGATGGTGAATGGAAGTCAAAACTTCAGCTTTAAGGGTGTTTCAATTGATTCAGCAAAATCATTGCCTCCAACAGTACGGAATTACTGAGGGAATCAGCCGTACGGTAGCCCGGAACAAAAGGCAACAAACCGGCATGCATGTGTGTTTCCAAAGCACTGATGCAAGCAAGGAATTACAGTAATTCTTCAGGAATTAAGTTTTCCAGTGTATTTTACGGCATAATACATAAAGTTTATTCTGCAGTCACTAAACCTTTTGAAGAAGAGACCCAAAGAACAGTACAGTAGGAAACAGTGCTTAGCTAGCGGAAAACACTTCTGGGAAAACACGGGCACTTCCCAAGTACAGTACCCCAGAAAGAAGGGAAGCAAGACTCAAGATTACTAAGCTAGGGCAGCTAGGATGTTGTAGTCTTGGAATTACGGGATAGTTCTAAGGAGTCTATCTGTCGCTTCTGCCCAAACCTGTGACGGTGCCAGGCTTTGGAGGTTTTGCGTCCCAGACTTTTAGCTAGAGTCGAACATGAACGGGAAAAGCGGTCCGATTCAGACTCTGGGCAGTCGAGGAACCTCCGCTCCACCATGCAGTAGTAGCGCCCATCGCAGGTGCGCCCCGTGCGCCCCCGGCGTTGCTTCAGCGAGGCTTTGGAACACCAGGTCGTCAGGAGCATGGACATCTTCTTCTGCGCAGGTTGTCAGTGTTTAAGAGATGGAACCTAATTATGTTACAAGCCTACAAATGGCCCAAAGACCAACAATTTTGGGGGGGTATTGCCATTGCAATCTGTTCGCAAACGCATTTAATTAGTATACTGTATTCAGACCAATCAGTGAGCACGAATGCATGACCCAGTGGAGAAAGTTGGTTACCTCCGACGTGACACAAAAACACACACACACAAAGCGTTTCGGACTTGCAGCGATCCTGCACGTCTGCAGAACTAGCCAGTCAGGGCAAACTACTGAGACTGGTGTCTGACTTTCACCGAACAACTAGACTCATGACTCATGACTCATCCACTCTACAGGCTGGACAACAAAAAAATACAAAAATAATACAGATTGGCAAGATCGGCCGGGAAACAGCTGTGTGTGCCCGTCTGCGCCCGCGTTTTTGGCCTCATCGTCATATTTGTTGGTCCGGTGCATGGCAAAGTCCACCACGGCACCCACGTCCGGCACCGTGACAGAGGATTCGGCCACGTTGGTCGCGAGGACCACCTATGGACTACCAACAGGACGACACATCGACACAACATGGACGACACATGACGACACACACTGCGGAAAGAATGGAGGTGTTTCTCGGTTTGGCCGTGACCTTTGACCGAAAACTGTGGATCCATTGGATTGAGATTCTAAAAGAAAAGAGCGTTCGTCTGGAAGAGTGAGTGAACTTAATCTGATCAATATGTGGAAACAATCAACTGCTCAGATTCCATCTTGCGCCGCGCATGGCGCATGGTGCATGTCTGGCCAAAAAAGGGCACAAACCTTCAAGCTATGCTGAGGATGTAATGGTTAAACTCCGACTGAATGGATGTCCTAGAGCGTGTAGAAGCAATATGCCCCCCACACGCACACAAAACACACACACACACAAAAAAAAAAGAAAAGGGCACCCCATGTTTAGATGTAGCTCTACATCTACCCACAAATGGATGTCTAGGATTGTCCAACAAAACAAAATCCATCTCAAAGAAAACCAACATAAACGGAAAGGCTTGGCTGATTGCTCTAAAAACTAGCTATACCCTCCATTTGCTTGCTGATAGATACAACCAGTTTCTCTGTACAGTGGCCTTGCCTTCCACACTCCCGGATCAGATGGTTCTAATGCACGTTCGTAGTCTGTCTTGTCCTAGGCCAAGTCGTGGGGGGGGATGGAGTCCACATTTGTGGGGAAAACCGCAACCCTCCTTGGTGGAGGATCCCTGCAGGTTGTGGGCGATCTTTGAATTCTGACACCAAGTTTGCCCTCAACTGCCACCAAACACTATGACATTGATCGTGGAGGAGGTATCATGAGGTATCCACCTTTCCCCTTAGACAGAAGGATCCAAGGAGCTATATAGAGGGATTAGCGGTTTAACCACGTAGACTCTTGAAAATGACCGGCGGATACCGGCGGTTACGCTCCCACTCACTAAGACGGACGTGGAAAACCCCCTGTTCGTAGAGCAACATGGTTCTCCCGCTCCAAAATGTACACTTTCATGTTAGTGGGTCGCAGTGTAGGATCTCAGTGAACTGAGACTTTTGAGCTGGCAAACGCTCGTGCAACTGCATCTTTTTTTGCTCGCTTCATTCTACCTTTATGGGAAAAAACACCCCCCCGAAGGTGTCTATACTGTCAGTCTATATCTCTTGACAAATGATGTTCAGCCAATTCGAAACTCGTAGACTCATCCATATAAAGTGATCCTGAAATTGATACTAACTCTTTTATCATAGCCAACATTTCCTGGGAGACCATATATCGATGGTCTGAGACTAGTTTGAACACCAATCCTTCATATCCAGGGAACTAACCTCAACAAGGATCTAGAACCGAGTGCATGAGAATGATGAAATTGTCATACCTTCGACACGAAGAATAGTAACTAGCCCGCGAAGTGCGGTCAGTCTCGATTTCTCGACGCATTCAAGGCGACCTACGATCTGGATGACACACATAGACACGACACAGCCTTTGAAGGGTCACACTGTGTTCAATGGCCAGTTGGCAAACTCGCAGTCTCATCGATCTAGATTATAATGACTAATGACCTCTAACTTGATAGAAGTTTGAATACTCTCTTTAATAAACACACAAGCTGAGGAGACCCCTAAGAATCGTATCGATTCGTCGATTCCCATCCGAAGCATCCAGTGATCCGGAAGGATTCGCCCAAAGAAATCCTCCTCAGATCAAGGATCTAGAGCCGAGTGCATCAGAATGATGTCTGGCCAATTGAAGGGACCGATGTTCGGATCTCTCTGCTGCTTGAACTTGTGCAGCTCGTGCATCGAGTCCGCTTCTTTGTCCAACAACTTCTTGAGTTCTTGAATCCTCAGAAGGGTGTGCCATGGTGTGTGCTTTGAGAGGGAGATCCCCTGGTGCTACCTGGGGGCGACTTGACTCGATGTTCCTTCCTTGCAGTCGGTGTTCCGCCCGCGGGTCGGTACCCCAATACGGGTCGCGACCTCTGAGCGACGTCGGCCGAGGCAAGGGAGAGCTGGGCCGTCCACTTGTCAAGAGAGGTTTTCCATGTTTTTTTCCGCACCTGTCAGGTGAGGGTTGTTAGACCCTAGTCAAGCTGTTTCTGTTTTTTAAACCGGGTCAACGACGAGGGTCATCTCTTTTTCAGTTCTGGGTTGATCTGGGCCTGTCGTTTGCACAAGAGTGATGAACAGGTGCCAAACACCAAAACGAAAACCCCCAGGTTCCAGTTGGAGCAAAACGTGTGGTTTGCGTAGACTGGTGTTCATTCTTTATGACAACCTGCTCAATTGTTTAGGCTAAATTCGAAGGAGGATGGCTAGTTGATGATTTACAGTGCCCTTGTTCTCCTACTCTCTCCCAATCTCCCGGGGGGTGTTCTGTATACTGGTATATTCTAACCAGCGACATCTCTTGAGGCTAACGGCTAAGATATCCAAAATCATTCTTCAAAAGGTACTAAAGAAGAAAAAGCCAGGGGCTCATTTAGACGTGGAATTAAACAAAAAAAAACAATACACACTGATTCATTTAGAATCCGGTAGCAAAAGGCATCTATGCTAGAACATTTAGAAGTAAACAGCCAGCTTACATGGATGCTTTATCCCAGAACATATGGCATCGATCATGGATAACAGGACCGGGCCAGGCAATCCTTATGTATAGGTACCTCCTTGCAGTCTAATATGGACCTTGAAAATGGAGCCCTCATCTACCGCCCAGTGCTTTTTTAATGGTTTTAGGCTCGTCCAATGTTAATCTGCAGGAGGGTATCCAACAGCTCCCGACTTGGGCAAATGGATGCACCCCTGAATTCACCTCACCATAGCCTCGGCGATGGTGAATCGAAAAAAAGAAAGCGCAGGCCAGGCATCTGATCTAAGCCTGGAAGGAAGGCCAAAACCACATGGATATGATGCACCTGCGCAAAGGAATGGTAGACAAACATCCCGATGGCACCAGTCAGTGAAGGTCTCCAAAACAGATGTGAACCCCGTAGGTGACTGGAAATTTTGTCCCTATATGCCGAAGATGTGTCCTTCCAATGGCTGAAGCAATGCTGGTAGCTTCAACATTTGCATATCACCGCAGCTGGCCTAAGAGCATTGCAGCAAGATTGGATCTACTTATTTTGGTTCTGGGCTGACAGCGAGATCTAAGTGTCAGGGCACTGATATTGAACATTATTGAACCTGTCTGAACAGCAACTGAACTGGATACTCTATAGATTCAAACAGGTTATTGGTTACTCTAGATTCCCTCAGGTAGATTGATGGGCTAAATACGCCTTCCCAAGCAATTTTGTCCCCCCAGTCACCACACCGAAAAACGACGAACTCCACCTCGTAGAGGCTTCGAAGGAGTCTTGCACCAGTCTTGGTCAAATTCTTGCAGGCCATCCTCAGACAGTCGACAGACACCGAACCCCAAGCGAACCCCAAGTCATGGCTTCTCAGAAGGCATCGAACTGCACCGATCATGTCGTTCACTGGTGTTGGGGCTTTTGACCTATGCCCCCCCTAATAGCATAGACTGAGCTCAAGGTAGTGGCTACCACTACGACTTCAGCATCACCACGTCGGCGTGTCTGCCGAGGGGCGTGAGCCGATCAGAGCTGACCTGTGGCTTGTCAGACCTCAGGCGCAAATGGGGGAATGCTTCACAGCTGCGGAGATGTTGGTGATGATCATAAGGTAAAGATAGGTAAAGCCGGTAAAGCCTTCTGATATCACAACTCGGAGTGAGTACCCTCCAAAACATGTGCCCATCCAAGTCCATGGATGGCACTCCCTGTTTGCAAAGGAAAATGGTCTGAAACCAGGGGCTAGGACGTCCACTCGCATGAGGACGTCCACCAGGGGGGGGCAGTAGTTCGAGCCCGAACTCTGAGTGTCAGAATTTCGAGAACAACACTGTAACACTGTGCAGCATACTCATTACTGGGGCACCCATGGGCAGGGAGGAGAAGCAACAAAACGGTGTGTGTAAGGCACACGGGTGGGGAACAACTAAACCAAGAAATGGCTTTACTCTGCAATCGATCGCTCGATCGCAGGCTCTTGATCAAAAAGTTGGGGGGCTGTCACTAACGCTGTCCTAGGCCCAGGAACAAAAAGGTTGTTAGGGGCCTTCATAAGCCTTCACATACAAACATGAAAGGTACGGTACCGTTGTCTTGGCCCTACAGATGACCCTGGAGACTGAACCGGACAATGACAGCTATAACGTTGCACTGCCCAAAAGCAGGCGATTTGCAAATGAACGTCTCTCTCCTCCGAGCCGCACGAGGCTGGAAGGCATTAGAGGTCCAAACCTGTGAGCCAAAGGCGTGTTTCACCCGCGCAGAACAGGAGCGACCCGGTCGTGGGAAGAACAGGAGCGACCCGGTCGCGAGAAGACCCGAAACGAATCTCAAGGACCCACGAACTGTGTTGATTCCTAAAAGTGGAAGATCAAGCAAAATCCTCAACAGCTGTGGGTGCTTCAAAGAAGATCCAGAGATGTTTGGGGTTGTTTGTGATAATAGGAACGATCGGGAATGAGCTTTGTGAGCATCAAAGCAAAGTGACTGTTTTCCAGTTGAGAGGATCCGATGATTGTTTCTTTTGGTCTCCACAGAGCCCAATTGGTGGTGACCATCTGCCAGGGATGTCTATCATCAACTACTAGTAAGGCCATCTGGGCGTCAGCGCCCTTTGTGTGATCCTAGTAGGTTCCCACATCATCTAATCCCAAAGGGAGCTTGCCCTACACGGTCAGTTTGCTAGCCTAACATGACTCTCATATACCAGAGTTCAAAGCACAACCCAAAGCCAAGAGATAAATGGCCCAGTTGACTTTGTATGGACTTTGTTTGTGATTAACCAACTTTCATCTGTTGGAACTATCTTGGCTAATGACCTTTGGGGTTCCTTGTATCAGCAAACTCTCATTTCACAATCTATCTCCCTCCACTCGTGCCGACGAACGAGGCCTCAAGGTTTCCTCAAGGCCGTCAGTCGACCAAAGCCAGGTGAATATCCAAAGCACCACAGTGACTGAGGGCTTTGGCTTGGTGAAGGTTTTGAGGCTAGTCTTGGCTAGTCGGCTAGTCAAGGCTTTTGGCTTGGCTTATGTCCCATTTTGGGGCTAGTCAACGAGCCCACGCGCTGAACCTTCACGTCTGGACACCGGTCGACCACCCGATCCGACTCGTCTCCATGCCCGAGACAGGTCGAAGCCAAGCACGGCATCGGCACGGCATCGGCCGATGGTTAGATGAAGAAAACAGAGCGTTCTCACACTTTGACTCCAGGTGTACAACATGGAAGGGATGTACAACACAGGAAGTCCAACCTGTACAACTCAATCGTTATACACTTTGACTCACTAACATGGAAGTGGAGAACTCCAGGTGTTCTTCGTGGAAAAGTCGTCGCGTCTTCCAGGTGTTGGGTAGATGAAAAAGTCGTCGGCACCAGGTGCTTCCACTTCCATGTGATGTGTTCGTCTTTCCTCGTGTATCTTCCTCGAAGAAACATGGACAACAACTGCTGACCAACCTCTGGCCACAAACAGCAAGGCAATAGATAATAGGAACCTTGCGAACCTTGTGTATCCTCCTTGACACCTGGGTGAAGTCTAAGGGTCTCCAACCAGGGTCTCCCTGGTTGAAACCAGGATTTTGGTTGCCGTTCTTGTGGGAAGACATCATTCCTTCATTCCAAAGAGCGGTGGAGCATTGTCGATGACTCCAGGATGGTAGCGTCGCAGCAGTTCAGAATCCAAATAGATGTCCTCAAACATGTTCCACTTCTGGCTGGTGCGACTCGTAAGCTACAATGGTGGTTGGATCCTGAGGTATCTCCAGGGGTGGTTCATGTCTGAATTCCGGACGAGGCCCAGCCTCGGAGATGTTTGGATGCAACAGATGTCGCTCCAAAATAGGTTGACCGAACAAAACAATAAAGAGACACTTGTGGATGGCCAAAGCCCAAGGATACCACACTACAGCTTACAACTTTATTACAGTGGTTTCAGAGGCTCGATGGCCCAGATCCCATGATGTCCTTGGACACATGGGGGGTCCATATAAACCCCAAACATTGGGGTCTGTGCCATCGATCTCTCAATGCACTACAGTATAAGTGTACGACTCCAGGGACTGGTATTGATGGTACTGTATGGGACGTGATTCGTGGGTTGTGTTGCTAGAGGACATCGTCTTCCCACATTCTCCAGTGAATGCTTCGCACCCTTCCATGATTGTTCTAGAGAGTAGCGAACCTTTACTATGAACTGCCTGCCGTGGGCCCTACGTGTTCTTAAAGGACAACGCCTTGCTCCATGCACTTGGACAGTAGTTGATTGTATATATTAACTTACTTGAGTTAGGATATGCGTCAACAAAAAAAATATCCAGAAGCTTGTGGCTCTTGGATAAACAACAACAACAACAACAACAACAACAACAACAACATAAACCAGAATTGCACAAATAAAGGGCACTAGAAGCGACTAGAAGTCTGCTACATGCTACCTGAATTGTTGTCTGTGACCTGGCTGATTGTCCGTCACACACCCAAAGACACCAAACGATTCAAACAGCTTTTCTGACTTGTCATCTCGATGTGATACGTTGCCGAAGAGGACATGAACTGAACCCAATCAAGAAACGACAATATAACCAAAAAAAAACGTTTGAAATCCAATGAAACCTATACAGTATATCTCTGTGCTCAGAAGTCCGGCCTAAATCGAGCTCCGCCTTCCGTGCTTTAAAAAAAAGAGCACAACAAGAACAAGGCATACCATGCCGTGGCCAGTCCTCCACCCGAAAGGGCGTACTTCCTGGAGAGGTGACGCTCACCATCTCTGCCAGATGGGGCGAGGGGAGCATGGTGGGCCGGAAGAATGCGTAGAGCGCCTTCTGCAGCGTGGCGCTCATCCTGGCGGGGCAGCTGGCTGGTCGGCTGGTCAGTTCGTGGCAAAAGGACTTGAGTTCCACATCGTGGGCCTGTGTGGTGGTCGTCTCAAAATGGGGACATAAGGGAAAACTACGTCACAAGGGATTTGAGATGTGCTCATGTTCTCTTAAAGACTTACTCAGATATTATACTTGTTGGTTTCTGTGAAGTCTCAGGTTTTGCCACTGTCTCAATGCCTCTCATTCCTCGACCAAAGATGCAGTCAATCACTGGCCAAGGGACTCTGGTTCGTCTTTCATACCCAAACACTCCATGGGACTGCCATATATGCCGCCCCATTGACCCCCAGTCAACCACCCCTGGCCTGATCGGCAGTCCTATGGCAGTCCCATGTGTCGTGTTTGGGATAGGCTTTTGATTCGTTCCGACTCCATCCGATCCATCCATCCAAGGCTCACGATGATCCGCTGGTGCCAGGTCTCGGGTCGGGACAGGTTCAATCGCAGCCTTGGGGTGAGGTGGGCGACACGTTGCGTGTCGGCCGACAAGGGGGTGGGGGCCCTGGCCCCCAGGGGATCAAGTTCGGTCACTGAGAAGATCCAGGAATAGGTTCCTATCCACCTTCGAAGTGTCCTCGAGATCCAGGAATGAGGTCAAATAGTCCACAAACAGAGACTCCAATTAGGTCACTGACTGAACGTCTTGGATCAGATTTGGCTACAGTGGATTGACAGTAGATGGCACAAGGGCCCCCCATGTCGGTAAATGGATCCCCCATGTGTCCTCTCGTCTTCTTGGGCCTCTTGGGGTTGTTGCGCCAGCTCTGAAACCACTTCAAACGACAGAGACTCAAGACATCTCAAGACTCCTTCGTTTCACAGGACAAGACGGAGACTCAGACCCACTCGAGACCCGACCCTGACGGTCAGACGCATGTCCCACAGGGAGCCCCGTGGACCGGACAGAGTGGACTGAACAACCACACGGGTCTTTGCCTTGCGTTGCTTTTTGCTTCTTTTTGTTTCTCGGGCCAAACGGCATCTACACATCTACACATCATTACACGTCCATGTCCAGTGCTTAAGCTGCTAGTGATCCATGACTTTTCCATGGATTCTCCCGTGATTTTGGAACTAAACTGTTTGCCATGAACTCCTTGGAGTGCCACTGGCTCTCATTGTCCTTGATTGTGTGTCATTGTTCATATCTCAAGGTCCATGCAACATCCAAGACCAATCAGTCGCATCAAGCGATAGGTTGCACCGGCAACAGGCAAACATATATGTATGAACCCAATTTGTGTTCACCTTGCAAAGCGCACACAAATTTATCATCACAATTTGCTGAAGGGAAACACACATGAAAGCACCAATCCCTATAAACTGAAACCCAGCAACCTGCTGCAAAACAGGAAGCTTAGTATCTCTTCCAGTCTATAACCCTGTTAGTGGGAGATACACACCACCAAACCACCAAGTTCTACAAGCTCTACAAAGCACTTTCATCCTTCCCGACTCTACAACTCAGCCAAACAAACCTACCTCACCCCGGTCACATGGGCCACCAAGAAAAAGGCCCCCCCTTTTTAAGGCCGTCCGGTGAACCGCCTCCGGTGTGCACCGCCGACCTAGGTGACCTATGGGCACCTCCAAGGTGAGGTCCAACACGCAAACCCCTCCAGGCCTCAGAGGTGGGTCAGAACCCTAGTTCGGCTATCAGTCTTGGGTCCCCCAGGTGACGGGTCCTAGTTCAGGTCACCTTGACCTCGGCCTGGCCCAACAGGGAGGCCTCCGGTGTTTCACGCACCCTTCACCGCCAGGTCGCAAGGCCATGAGAAAATCCGCCTCCACGAAGCGCTCGTGCACTTCGTCCAGGACGATGTGGCTGTAGCTGTCCAGGTGAGTCCTAAGACAAGCGAGCTGAGCTGAGCTCGGTGTGTGTTTCGCTTGTTTTGGTATCAAGTCAAACCTGGGATGCATTGACTCATCAAGGATCTTGCAATTGATCATATCATTAGATACCAGGACCTTCAAAGTGACTGTGCTTGAGATCCAGGAATGAGTTCGCATAGTCCCTCAAGAGGTCACTTAGAGACTCCAAAGAGGTAACTTTGAAGGTCCTGGTATAGATCTGTCCTTGCATCAATGATCCACAAAGATTCCATACATTGATAACCCCTTGCACTCGTGTGTTTTGGACATATATGCAGAGTAGATGGTACCTAAAGCGAGTAAACTGTCTTGCCCTGTGCGCTTGGGTGAAACTGGCAATCGACTTTCAACAATACCCAGATGGTCCAGGTACCTATACACAAGGATTGTTGTTTGAGGCGACAATCCTTCACATGATCTTTGGGGAGGCTCCAAATGGGTGTGTAGCTCAAATACGGAGACCTCCCAGGCGTTCCGATCCCCCGAGTCATGACCAGTCTACCCAGCCGACAGGGGCAAGAGGCCATCTTGTCTCATCCCTATTCAAAGACCTACCCTAATGCGGTCTGCAAGACTGATTCCACTGCAGCGAAGAACGAGACAAATCGACTCCAAGTCCAAGAATCGGATTATGAACGATCGCTTCTAAGAAGTGGCCCACCGTGACGTAGACCACACTGCCCTTTTCCGGGCAGAAACGATTCAAGCCAGAGAGGGGGAATCACCGGCGGCACGATGAAAAAGGCGTGAGAAAGTGGGAAAAATGATGAAACTGATGAAAAACACGTACAAAGAAGTAGGCTTTAGCACAAATACAACTGTGGATGGGTCAAACACCTTGAGCTCCAAACGCTGGTTGACTGGCTGGTAGGTCATCCAAGGTCTGCTGGTTTTGATTCACAGCCAACTGAGTTTACTTTGCCTCCAGACCTCCCTTTGAGTGATCGGGCAACTCTTTGATAGGATTGCCTGCTACTAGCAAAGGCGGTCCAATCGCCGCTATCCACTACAATACAGTCTGGGATATGCAAGAGGACTACATACCAGCAGGGTACACGCTCCAAGTGTTGACTTAGCCAACTAGGAACCCCCAAAAGTCCTTCAATGCACATCAAAAACTTTAAACTGTAGGTGTGCGCTGTCTGCGACGTTTGTTTCTTGAGATCCACCCACCAACGGTCTAATTCATAGGCCTACTATATGCAAGTCGACTGATAGATCGGCATCCGTTGGAATCCGTGTTTAGAGTTCTTGCTCCTGGATCCTTTCCCAGACACTCCATGTATGCCATATATGATGAATCATATATGCCGCCCCATTGACCCCCAGTCAACCACCCCAACTGATCGGCAGTCCTATGGCAGTCCCAGACAGGTCGTGTTTGGGTTTGGCATGCAGCATCTTGGGGCTGCAGCTTTCGCAAAGGGTCGAATGGCCCATCCTTCCACTCTTCGGACGTCGTTCCATCGGCGGGTCCCTCGCCGCATCGCGGCGCCCCTCGGCCCCGCCTTGGAGGGGTTGTCCTCATTGAGTGAGTGGATGAAACAGCCGAGACGAAAGCGTCGAATACGTTTCAAACAAGTGGATGCTAAGCAAATCCATCTGAAGTGTAACCCCAAATCCCCAAATTTGGCCAATGCCTATAGATCTTGACCACTGAGCCAAAAGTACAAGAGTCATGAGGGATAATTCAACCATACCGTTCTGCAGGTTGATTTTATGGCAGGCGGACGTTTCACTGGAGGTTGCTTCACTTCCCAATGCAAAGCATGGACCTCTCAACACACCAACTGGCTGCGCAAACTGCTCAGTTGCAACTCCCTGGTGGGTTCACCCCAATGCCCCAACAAAAACAACAAATGATGTTGCCTTTTTGGAAGTTGAACATGTCACCCTGACGCTTCCGCTTTGTCCCCCTCTTGGCCACAAAACGCCAAGGTCTTTTCGCTCGTGCAAAAACCAAAAAAAACAAACAAACATGGAACATGGACCACTCCATGGGGCCAATGTCAAAAAAGGACACTTTGACTCGGAAGGATCAGGACGCCTCCACAAGGATGAGGAATGATCAGGAAACAGCTCGAAAATATCCAAACTCTCCTGTTTCCTCTCATATTGGTGGGTGCCTTGCCCAAAAGGAGAGACTCAGGCCAAAGAATCCTCGTTCGAAGCAGGGTGTGACTCTGTGACATCCGAGAATGTCTTTTGTCCAAAAGAAACAACACAAAGCCTTCAGGATTCCAGCTGACTTGGTATGTTTCCTATCTGACTTGCCATGTCCAGCTTTCCAGCTTCAAAGGCTCTTCCTGGTCTTCTTCCTACGAGGTTTCAAAGGTGCAGGAAAGGGGTGGACCCTTAAAAACGTTCAAGAAAATGTCGGGCGAACTGTTAACGGGTCCCCCATGGCCCCCGTGTGTTCTGAACGATGTCGAAATCTGCAGGGCTCTTTCGTTCCAATCCACGTTCGGACCTCATGAAACCAGTCGCCACCCCACGTGAACACCGCACGCAGCACAAACGCCACCGACCTCCGGTCCTTCTTCTCATGACCACCCATGCGATATCCAATCAATTCTCCCACGTCTTGCCCTACCTGTGGCGGACGCTGAACGGCCGTTGCGGCAGGGAGGCCACACGCGGACGCCGACCCGTCTTACTCCAGTCCACACTGCGACCACTGAAACTTGGCACATACGAGTGGTCCGTGGCGGAAAGGCGCGTCTTCTCCGTGCCAGTCAGTCTGAAGAACTGAATTGTCTTGAAGACATGCTACCATGACTCGAAGTTGTTGTTGTGTGTGTTTTTGTGTTGTTTTCGAAGGCATTGTTCTTTGATGTTCTTTCACATGCTTGTCTTGACCAAAAGAGTGACTCTGCCACCGGATCACTCTGCCACCGGACATCGTGACTTGATCCTCTCGTTGGGGTCATGTCATCGTTTCATGCGATGCCGTGGCTGGTCGCGCTCGGCTGAAGCCAGCAGGGAGGAAGAACCGCAGGGTCTAGGATGGACATGAGGTTTCAATACTGCACAAAATATGGACGGCTGGTCATAAGAGTTCGAGAAGGACAAAAAAGCTATAACTCGGGCTTGTAATTTCAGTCACTCAGTCACAGAGAGAGAGAGAGAGAGACATCCTAACTATAGCTTCTACCAAATCCCAATTCTACTCGCATGAAATCGAACCAAAACACTTTCCCTATTCCCACCACAGAGACCGGCCATTGAAACCCGTTTCCCCGTGTTCGCCCGCCGGACCCGGCGCCTGCTGAGCCACTCGCTGAGCTAAGCCTTTGGCGGCCACGCGCCGGGGCTGCGTCACCACGATGCGGCAGCTCCGGCCTTCCTGGCGAGCGAGGCACGCGAGGCACGCGAAGGGCGAAGGCCCCGCGGAGGCGCGGTGGCGGGGAAGCAAAAACCGCACCAAGCGCAGAGAGTGCTTAAGCAAGCAACTGGAGCTTTAGAAGCAAAGTCTAAACCAACAAACTTTATGAGTTTGATATACTTTTCGAGGGTTGTTGAAGTGTTTAGGCAGGTTGACGACTACTTTAGCAGTGACCCAGTGGTGATTCTTCCCTGTGGATTTGGGATTTCTTTGTCAGCTGTGTTCCATCCATGCCCCTCTCCTGCATGCATTGCTCCGCCAAGCAAAGAGGTACCAGGGTGGACTTGCCACTTCCCGTGTCTGCGTCCACGAACACGACACCTTGCACGAGGAGACGCCAGTAAGTGGACGAAGTGGACGACACTGCCCATTCACTCAAGCCACATCGCCGGCGAAAACAGAACACATCGGGTTGCCAATGCCATCCTGTAGGGCGACCCAACAATCGCACCAAGAGCGTCAATCCATGTCTTTAACAATGAATTATGATCACTTTGAATTGTCCCATGGGGTTAGCACCAAAGGCACAGGAGAAGGGCTGTCCATCAACAGAAACTGACTCCTTTACAGCTTGGCAGCCCTGTAGGTTCATGAATGACCTGACTTTGGTCTTGGGGGTATCCCAATAACAGGGCCCCGTGGACGATGGTTCGGTTCAAGGCCTTTCTCAATCAATGATTGAGAAATCTTGACCCTTCCTGTTATTGTTTTTTAATGGGACACACCCTACCTGGCATTTTTTCCACCAAACCAAGCTGGACGCCAGAAGAAATCAACGATCTCCCCTCGAACCGCCTGTCTCCGTACGCGGCGGAGGGTTGGTTCAAGGAGGGGCTGGGGCCGAGACGTTCCGGAAGAACATGGAACGCTGGCAATTACTCTTGGTGCTCTTTTACCCCTTGCAGTCATTGATTCTGCTGAATCCCACTGTAGTAAAACAATCAACTGTACAAACTTTCACCTTGACAGTGTAAATCAAAGGCTTTCCGATGGCCATATATATATATATATAGCTGTCTTTCCACTGTAATTATATACTTCAAATCATCGACACGGCCGAGAAACGATTCTTCAAGACTTTCTCTTGGAGCTCTTGGCGAAACCTCGGGAAACTCGACGGCAGTGTTGGATTGGAGCAGCTGCCGTCGTTCCATATACTATGCTTAACCCGGTTTTCAGGTTGACTTTCTCATGGACACGTGTCGTTCTCTCATGAACGTGGACCTGTCGAGATGTCTTCAGTTTTGACCCGCGGTTTGTGCCAGGGGTTCTGAGACAGAATGGCTGGGATTGGTCAATTTGGGGTCAATTGCAAGAGATGTGGAGAAGCCATAAGCCAATCTCTACATATAGAGATACGTGTTTTTACGTATAATTATTAAAAATGTATTGGGTGTCTCAGTCTCGGCTAACTATAAGTCACAAGGAACCACTCACCTTCTGCATTTTCTCCCGCAGCACATGCTCCGACCAGCCGCTTCCTGGTGGCATCCCCTTAAACGTCGCTCCTCCGTTGGTGAATTGATCAATCCAAACTTCCACCGTGGAGATTGGACCGTATGGATGAACCTATGAACCTATCAACAAGAACTGGTTCATTTCTGAGGATGGTCTATTTGATTGGATGGTTCATGTCTGAACTCAAAACAACCATCATCAAATTGCATCAAGAGCTCACCGTCTGAACTCAACCAGATGTTCTCCCCCAGATCAACTTCTGGTTCCTACGAACCATGGGCGAGTTCCTACCTGACGCAAAAGGGCGAGTTCCTATACCCACGGGGCGAGTTCCACCAAAGCTGTCTCCACACACGACGGTCCGGTTTCCTCCATGGAGCTTGTACATGGGCAAGTTCTTCCCGACGTCTAAACCTGGAAGAACCGTTCGCACGGCCAGCACGAGCACGAAGCGCTGGAACGTGCTGCTTCTTGGGTGGACCATGACAAGCCAGGGTTGACCATGACCAGGGTTGGACTGAATCGTTTTGGGTCCTCAAAAGGGCGTGCGTTGTAGGCGGTTGCCTTGGGAAACAGAACAACAAGCGATTCCTGGGTGTCTTCGGGCGATTCCCGGTTCACACGTTTGGATCGAGAAGATGCAGGGCTACCAACATACCATGCTCAACATCGAGCGACAAATGCCTCAAAGTTGCTGAAAAAACAGGTTCCGCATGGGTCCGTTGTCCTCGTGTCCTCATCTGTTTGGTTCTATCCGGTGTTTGACTTGGCCAACTCACTGAGAATCTTGGTCTTCGCGGCTCGCCAAAACCACTGACAACATATTCAAATATATTTACTAGAACACACTAGAATCTAGAACTATAAAGTATATACAAGGAACAAGCCATAACCATATTGGGTTTTATGGTCGGACCTGTTCTTAGTATTCTGTTCCCCCCCCTCCCACACCAACCGAACGCGCCGAACACGCCTTGCAGCACGGCGCGCAGATCCGACCAATCGGCCTCGGTCGGCGGTGGGCTCGGAGGGGGTGGTCGAGCGACTGACCGGTCGACCTGGCGACTTGGGAGGGAGGCGAGAGGACCTTCAAGGAGTGCTTAAATGGAGACCCCTATAAGGCTTGCATTGGTGACAGGTCTGAAGGTGATGGTAGTCTTCACAGGGAGTTTGCCATGTTTCTTTTGGCACCAAAGAAGGAAATGCTGGGATCCATGACACGCATGATAGGCGAACGCTTGCTTGGGAAAGATTTGGCAGTCAGATTCAATTCTCCACCAAAGGGTTCTCGGCAAGTGTTTGGAGGCTGGAGTCTTTTCATGCCAGAAGTTGGTTCGAACTGCGTGGATCGCACAAGCTTATTCTCCTTTGATTGATGGTTATTGTTTTTGTTCAAGCCTCTCTCATCCGGAAGAAACAAAAACACTTTTGAGGCGAGTATGGGGCTGCTTCGGTGAGTGACGGTGACCTATAGTTGAGCTCAGACCTGCGGACTTGTTGCAAACAAGCTGACGGCAAAAGCTCACCTAGAATCCAGTGAGAACCGTAGGACAAATCTATGGAAGGTCTAAATCACCCAACACAACTCACCCACACACGAACTTGCGGGCTGTCGCGCGCCTCACGGTCCTTCCATACCCAAAACAACTGACCCCCAAAATCCCCAAAACCATCGGCCAAAGGCTCACTCCCATGCGGGCTGTCGAAGCCAGGCTCCGGAAGCTGGGCTGCCAAGGGCTGCCCCGCCGGCGTCGGAGGGTCCGACGCGGGGTCCGCTGCGGGCGACGGTTCAGGCAGCGCCAGCCAGCTCGCGCCGGGTGCGGGCGCGGCGACTCCTGCGGATCCGGCGGATGGATCTGAAGATTGTCCAATCTGACAAGTCCTCAAGTGAAGGGAAGTGATGGGGTGAAAAAGGACGTGAGAAGAGTGAAAGCTCACCTTCAAATCCAGCGGCTTTGGAGATGTTTTGGCTTTGGACACATCATGTGGTTGGTTGGACTTGCAGTGGCCTGCAGTTTCTGCTGGCTGTGGAGCGCCCAAGCTTAACGGATGGGGTCTGAAGAGAAGACTTCATGACGTTTACACGCCGCTAAAAGCCTAGCTTGTGGTGTTGTTTTATGTTTTGCAATAAGTATACATAAAATTACATAAACACACACGATTGTGGTAGAGTTCTGAAAGGCAGGCTCCAATTCACTGCCCATGCCATGCGGAGCTGATTGGCTTACAAGGCTTTTAGCTAGATCAAGTAAAATTGAAGCAACAATTCATAGTTTTCCCTGGCGAGTGGAGCATCGAGCATAGCAACTTGCTTGGGATCCTTTTCATGTTTAAGGCGAGCATATTTGCTGGTACTCAGGCTGCTATGGCCCGTAAGTGCCCAAAACAAAAAGCTTTGCGCTAAGCTCTATGACTTTTTGGCCTCCTAGATTTGTTGAAACACTTGTTGAAACACGCTCCTCAAACAACTTGTTGGATCTTGTTGGTGAAATCCTCCGCCAGAAACTGAGCAAACATAAAAATAGCAATCAAAGAAGCAAAGAAACGCATCAAAAAGAACAATCCCCCAATCTTGGATCTTGACCAACCTCCTGGAGCTCCATTCTCGCCTGGACAAACGTCTTCCTCGTCGCTGGGTGGAGGGGTGATGGCTCCATGCAACTCGGTCTCCTGGAAGCGCCAACCCGGCTCGATCCGTGGGTTATTTCATGTGTTGTTCTCGTTTGAGAGCGGGTGTTGGTACATGATGGTACGTTTGAGCTGGTCAAAGGCTTGGTAGGGAAAATTTGCTTAAGGGACATTTACAGCGCTAGGAACACCCGTTCTGTTCTTTTTGGGGGGGGGAGGGGGGCCTGTGGCAACGAGCAAGAAGCTGAAACTCGTTTGACGCCAGAGAGAGAGAGAGAGAGAAAGAACAGTTTTGAGGATTATGACCTTACACTTGTAGCCCGGGTATTAAGTATAGACATACAGGTGGGTACCTATGATACCTGCCACCAATCTTTGGAAGCACATGAAAAACAGTCTCTCTAAGACCCTCGAGACCCAAACATCTTCAGATCTCTTCTCTCAGTCTGCAAGCAGGAAAGTGCTAACTCTTGTCCTTCTGAAGCCGATATCTTGATTTATTCTAGACTCAAACCTCAACCAAAGATGGATTTTGCAAATATACCTTAAATCACTCAATCCATTGTCAATATCCACCGTGGTTTTCGCTCGTTTCGTTCGCTCTTCCTCTGGAGGTGGGGTCGCCGTCCGTGGCCCCACAACCCTAGGAATCCGCCCGCTTGGGCTTTCCAAGGCCTGGCAGGCGCGATAAATCGCGCCGTAGCTTGGGGTTTGGGTGGAGCAGCAAAACCTCTTGATAGTGGGAGGCCATCGCTAGTAGTAACAAGGGCATCGCTACTAGTAGCAAGAACGCTACTAGTAGCTAGGGCATTACTACTAGTAGCAAGAAGCTCCTAGTTGGAGGCCATCGCTAGTAGGCTTTTCAGAACGGACAAAGGCACAATGTTCGATGGCACTGGCACCCCAAAAGATGTCTTTATTTGGGGGTCCATATAAACCACCAAACTTGGGGATTGCGCCATCTACTCTGAAAGCACTATATGTACATTGGATCAGGAGCCTACAGCCTCATGTACATGGCCGATGGATGAATTTTTGCAATCAAATTGAATACCCAAAGTGAATACCCGCCGTATGGGGTGACTTAAGGATGTTTGACGAACTACTCTGGTTTGAGGTGTTGGGGTTTTGACTCACAAAAACAAAAAAACACCAAGAGGAAGGTAGTTCCGTTCCGGTCACCAGTGTTGGACATCAGAAAACAACAACATTTGATTCAAGAACAACAACAACAACAACAACAACAACAACAACATCAACAACATGTAACATGTCTCAGTCCCTCGTGATGTTGGTTCAATATGTGCCCTCAAAGACCGGTGAAACTTTCACACATATAATTTGTTTGTAATATATATGTAATTGTACGACATATATAGACTGAAGTGGTCCCCAGATTTTACATGACATCAACAAACATACAGCGCATACATGTCAATGTGTCCATCTCTCCTCCATCTCCCAGTGGTCCTCTTGGCTGTACCGTTTTTCGGCCTTGTTCTCAGAATCCTCGTAGCGCTCCACTGGTGGCACCACATACTGGGGAAACCACCCGTGGCACTTTGAGCCATTCAAGCCAGACCTCGGCGCTGCGGCGCCACGTCGCTGCGGCGCGCGCTCCCAAGCGGGTGAGCGAACTGGCTGATTTCGCCGGCCCTGATTTTGGAAGAACCAGGGGATCTATAAGCAGTTAGGGGAAGAGGGTTTACCATGTTGTATTATCATGAGACCCAGAAAACGAACGGTGAACTCAGGGGATTCACCTGGCAGGAGCTGAGTTATGCGTAGGTCAAGCCTGTCCAACATGTTTTGTTCCACAAAAAACGAGGCCAGCAAACCCTCGGGTCAGTCCCAGTTGCCACACGGGCATCCGAATTGGCACTACAGTTGCTAACGACGCATTTCGTTCTGAACAGAACCAATAGTGGATTGAGAGTAAATGGCACAATCCGCCCCCAAAGCTATGAATATATGGACAACAATCTGTCTAAGACCTCTTGGGGGCCCTGTGCCATCTACTCTGAAAGGTCCAGGATAAGAGTCTTGAAGACATGGAAATGGATTGGCCCGGTTCCTTTTTCCGGCCATTTCATTTCGTAACTCACAGGAGAAAGTACATCCGCATACCACTCCAAAAACGGGACAACAATGAATCGTACTATCTGCCAGTTGTTCGTGGCATTCTGAAACCATACCTGGATGTTTGCTCCCTGTAATGTCATCAAAAGAACATAGAATTAACAAAATCTATCCCAAACACTCCATGTATGCCATATATGCCCACATTGGGGTGGTTTTGGGGGGTCAATGTAGGCATATATGGCATACATGGAGTGTCTGGGCATACAAATAGTCGTAGAGTCCTTCATTCTAACCCAGCCAAACGTTCACGTCAGACCCCAATGGCCCGCCCTTGGCCCCGCCGTTGGCCGCGAGACGTGGGTCTCACCCGGCAGGGCCCAGTGGATCCCACCCATCACCATCACCACAGCCGCGTATGTTGCAACAACATGCAGCAAACAACCAATAACAAAATTGCAAACCACATCGAACAACTAAGCTAACAACTACGATTTGTCCATCAACAACGCCTTCCAAAAGACTGCCTTGGGTTAGTTAATGTCTTCTTTATTTAAGTTACAGTCTCCGTCCAAGCAGCTTATATCCGTAGAGCCAGCCGACTTCCTGGGATTCCTCATCACCGACGTATTCCACGAAAACCACCTGCCCCTGGCTGAGGACCTCATTTGTCTTGCAGGATGAAGCACCATGTCTCACGAGGGCAGGAAACGTTGATCTCCACGCATGTTGACCGTTGAATAAGCCCTGAAGTGTGGAGAAGTGCAGGGAAATCATATATGACACTATATATATATATACTATAATCCAACGGTGTCTTGGGTCTGATCGTGTCCCGCGGAACACATGACTTCCGCCGAGACTGTCAGGGGGTCTCTGAATTCGCGGCCCATTGGATCCTGAGACATCAAGACATCGGCCAAGGAGATTGGAACAGAGCGAGCGCGTTTTCCCAAGCGCACGATCTTTTTGGCCATATCAATCCACAATATATAAGTATATGATATATATATATACAGTATATGCCTATTTCGTTGCATACAAAGGCTATCATATCACATCCAGGTGTCAGTGTTCATGTGTGAGTCCAGTCACTCTTCCGTTTTTGATCAAACTTGTGGCCATTCCCACCTCAGTTCAAAGGCAGGGGCTTTCGTTGAAAGACGTTCAACCATGGCCACAAGTAAACTCATTCATTTTTTGAAGGTTTGCGATGGTGGCTGGAGCATTTCCTGAAGATCTTCACAGAGGTTCGCCCAGCATGGTTCATTGTGGCTGTTGCCTTCATTGTTTAGATCTTCTGAAACGTTTTGAAATTTGGTTTGCCTTGTCATGTGATGTCTTGCGCATTGATTGCCATTGAGTTGGAAATCGTTGCATCTATCGGAAGCTGACTCGGCGTTCCATGCTCCATGGCATGCACCGAAGCTTCCAGCGAAGATCATCTGTGGTGAAGCCAAAGGAGAAGGCGAAGCTGACCGCGAAGATGAAGCCGAAGCCCAGCTTGAAGCGTCCGTCGCAGCTGAACTTGGCGGCGTCATCGACTGACAATGCAGAGGGGACTGGACCTGGCACTCCAGAGGGGACTGGACCTGATGCTGCAGAGAGGACTGGACCTCACACTGCGGAGGAGGCGTAATGAGCTATCGCGAGAAGTGCTTGAAGAGTCTTGGCTTTGCAGGATCTGCTTGGCTTCAATGTGACTAGAGGCTGGTCAAAGCCGAGCTGAGTTTCAATGAGACAACATGTTTCGTTTCAGTCAGAACTTAGATTCAGTTGTACTGGGCAACTTCAGGGGATCAAGGGATGAGGTGTCAATTGGTCAGTCCAGTGGCGGGAGGCAGAATCTAATCCACAGTGAACGACAAACAGTTTGAACAAGCATGAGTAATAGTTAGTATGAAGTAACCACTGAATCACTGATCCTTCACTTTTGATTTGCACTCTCAAATCTCATGCAACGGGTCGTTCGCGTGGGGTTGCTTCTCCGCAGGAAACGAAGCCAAAAGCTACACGTCGGATGAAATACTTGGACCAAAATGTTCCACAGGAGGATGATCCTAAAACACTCTGCTATGCACAAGATCTATGAAAGTCAGAGATGCTCCGTCTAGATTGTAGCAAGTTTTGGACTATGTTTTTATTCCAGGAATTGTTCAGTTTTTCAGGGGTCAAGTGTTTGAGATGCAATCAAACAACAGATTCAGCTTTATGACCGAATTTCAAGCCGCTGGAGGAATTGGACATCGAGTCAAAAGCGCAAGGTGTCGACAGGTGCCCAGACTTCTTTGAGCGTGCAAACAGTATCTTCCAATGACATGGGAGTGCAAATGGACTCAACCTCTTTCCGCAACTTTGAGTTGCAAACGGATTCAGCCTTGGACGATCCTTGCCACCTTTGCTACAAAGTCCATGAGAAAGATTGTCATGAAAATTTCATCTTGAGTGGCTTGCCCTAGGCTTTGCGTAGCATTTTTCAACTTTCTTTGTGGGGCAGGTTCAAGCTCACATACATTCGAGTTGATAAGACTGCTTTTGGTGCGCACTGGCGTTCATGGGCAACTTAGGCAATAGGAATCGTTCATTGGAGCATCGCAGTGCAATCCTGAACAAAGAGCTAGAATCCTTGCAACGACGGCTTTCGTTGAAGTGAGAGTGAAAAAGGTCTCTGATTGTATCTGTGATAGTCCGTGCTTCATTACTGCCATGGTCTTTGGAGTCAAGTCAATGCTTTATTGTCTTGGGTGTCATGATTTCCTTCTCAAAAGATGTTCTGCTTGCAGGTGCAGTGACGTGAGAGTGGCTGATCAATCACCTTTTCACTGACTGAACTTGGAGAAAAGATTGTGAGCGACATTGATTCCACTAGGGGTAGGACCCGATTGCAAAATGATAACACCTCTATGCAAGGACATTGCCTTATATATATATATACACATTTACAAGACATATGCATGCACATATGGATCTATGAATCAACCGTTAACATGTTTGAGGCAGCACAGGCTTCTATCTCTTCAATCGGCCTTTTCTACTCGGAAGAGAACCTCAAGGATTCCCCCTAAATCTCCCGAGCGAAAATGACATGTGACAAGGGGTCCAGGGTCTGATGGAGCCGTCAGAAACAACAGCGTCTGACGTCATTCCATAGAGTTTGTCTCAGCACCCTTTCACCACTGATGGCGCCCAGGGCTGAAACGGATGAGGTCCAACCAAAAGTACTCCGTTGTCCTACTGGAGCTTTGCTAGAAGTACATCCCAAGTCGGATGGTCGGAAAAAGTCTTCAAAGGGAGAGATTCAGATTTGCTGTTTGTTATGGTCGGACGGTGCCCCCGGAGATTGATGGAAGATGAGAAATGGATTGACCGTGTTCTATTGTGGCCACCATCACTGATATGCCCCACCATACCCCGCGCAAATGGATAAATATGGATAAACACCCCCAGTAGGCTTTTCACCACACTATTGGACCGGGGACAAAAGTCACATGATCTGTCTGGATCGATTCAGATTGATGGCCATGATACATGTGCCTTGCCTTGCTGAACGTGTTGTTCTACGCCCAAAGACGGAGAGAAGAACACTTCGTCCTGCCCCACGCCCAACAGAACCGGCAGTACACGGACGTGTGACTCCACGGTGCTGTTCTGAGCAAATGTCCTGCAAGCCCACCACATCCAAACAACTTAAGTACAGTTCACGTGGGCTCCCCCTTGCTTGTGTGAGATATCAAAACACACCTCCATCAACAAAGAACAGCTGCTGGGGAGATCTGTTGTGTGCGTTGGTGTTGGCAAACTATTATTTTGCCACAGCATCTTTGCACTTCCCCACTTCTCACGGTGCCAAGCAGCCAAATACCCTTCATCTTCCGAATAGTCAGTAAATGAAGTCGTCACCACCCGGGCGCAGGGTCCGGAGCAGGGAAGAAATCCCATCCGAAAGAGAGGCGCTTTGTTTTCCAACGCAGAGGATGTTTCACCCTCTCTGCGGTGAGGGCTTGGGCGTTGCCATCTAAGTAGCCATTGACTCAAGTTGGAGGCTTCCAACTAAAGCCTTGAACCGCAATGGCTGGAGAGTTTGGCCGAAAGCTACACATGTGCACCCTCAAGCCAATATGTGTTTTCTCATGCATGATGTCCTGCATATGATGCCCTATGGATCCACATACCTTTTCAGAAGGCAATTGGACCCTCCAAGCCTACATAAATAGTCTCCAATCACCTTCTCAGAAGGTATGTGGATCCATAGGGATGTATATATATTTATGTCCTTGTAAAATCCCACCCCAGTCCTCATGGCCTCTCACTCCTGTCCCCTTTTGAATCTCCAAGGGTGAATACCTTTTCCGACGTTTCAAAGCATCCATGTATGGAATACTTACCATAATTAGGACACGGTCATCAATGGGGGTCCATGTATCGATCTTCCAGTCCCAGCTCATGCTCTTGTCCATGCCGCTTGGAGCACCGTTCTTCCCCCCGGTGCTTGTGAGCGGTGTGCTTCCGCTTCCACATCGCGGCCAGGGGTCCATGGGGTCTCATCAGGTGTTCCACCCGCCAAATCACACCTGGACCTTCGTCCGGGGTGTCCTGTCTGGAGGTCCCCTTTTTTGTGTAGTGTAAGGGGCGAAACCAGCCAGGTGACCCCGGAATGAAGGTGCTGGCATGTGATGCCATGTTTTGTTGCCTGGATTTGGGGAAGTGTGAAGTCTGAGGTGAAAGTCCAAACCTCCGTAGCAAGTCCGCTGCTTCCCTTTCGAGTGGTAGCCAAGTCCGTCTACAGTGGACACCACTTTTGGGCAGCGCAAAAGAAAAAATTTGGTTTCTTGTCCACGTGTTGATGCTCTCGCCAATCACCACATGAACTCCGAAATCCTTGCGAAAGGCAGCTTCTGCCACAAAATCTTCCCCATGTGAAACACCAGGATCGACTCCCACCACCGCCTGCTCTTCCCACCCCACGACCACGCCGAAAACAACACGAAAAAATGCACCTCGCGCAGGGCTCGTGTGGCCACGGGCCGCAGCTTCTGGACGGCGTCCAAAGCCTTCAACACCATCTCCTTAGCTGGTCAAACAGCACGAATGAAAAAGCAGTGAAACACCCTGATCTGAAAATCCGTCTTTCAGAGGAATCTTGAAGAAGACCAAAGAGGATTCTTCTCCATCCAACAGGGCGTCCGTGATCTCGTCCGAGATCCGGCGTCCGACATTTCCAGACACGACCGACACGCCGCTGTCTGGGACTGCCAGGACGGACTGCCGCCCCATTGACGGCCCAAAACCGCCAAAGCGCCTATATATATGTATAGGCATATATATATATAATATACCCAAACACTCCATGTATGCCATATATGCCTACATTGGGGTGGTTTTGGGGGTCAATGTAGGCATATATGGCATACATGGAGTGTCTGGGATCGATCTTACTGCAACACGTGCACCATATTGGGTGAATTCTCGAGGAGCAAACCCAGTTTCCAGTGATGGTGCTCTCTGATCAACGGACTCTAGTGTTTGTGCGGCAACAAACCAGCACCACACACCTCTACACAGCTGCAAAAGGACACAGCCTGTTTTGCACCCAGCCCTGACACACCGGAACTAGAAGTCCTGACAGTCCTGACAATCTGAGAATGAGCACACACCTGTTGGGAACTGATCATCATCAGCCTCTTGACAGGAACCGTTCGGGAGGCCGGATACCGAGACGAAGGGCCGCTACCAGTCGTAAGAGCGTCCGGAAGTTCCGGGCGGGTTCCAGTGTTTGGGTGACCGAAAACAAGCTACGAACGTAACAAGTGCATCGCTACTAGGAACAAGTGCCTTACTAGTAGTAACAAGTGCCTTACTACTAGTAACAAGAAGCATTTAATTAGAATTGTAATTACAAGCAAAGGAATCTACTGGGACCCTCAAAGTTCCAATCACCAGCTTCTTCGTGACCGAACGACCTGGAGTCCAATCCAGTGACCCTGGGCCAACAGGGCCTATGATTACGAGTACAAGTGACCTCAAGAAAAAGGAGATCGACCCGGTTGAAGTCCATCGGAAGTTCGCCACACTGATCATGTCAACTTGACTCTCCACAGCCACCGGAGCATCCGAACATCACCCCGGTTCAGGCACTGGTTCGGCAGGAAGTTCCGGTTCCGGCCTCCTTTTTTTCTGTGTCGACCCGCAAAAGCGCAGCGAGTTGGAAACGGCTTTGCGTTCAAAGCTCGGGAACGTGCTCCAACCCCCGGGTTCTGGGGATGAGGAACCGCTATAGGATCGAAAGGCCCAAGAATTAGACCATCTTGGGTTTCGCATCTGGCGCCAATTTGAGCCACATCGTGCTAAACACGCATTCTGCCTTTCCATTCTCCTTGGACACACATCGAGGTCAAACAGGGGGAGAAATCCTGGATGACCGACGAAGCCGCGAATACGACTTCCAAGGGGAATAGGAAGAAGCTACGATGTCAATCATTTCTCCTGGCTCCCAGCTTAACTAGAATGAAGTTTTAATGCGGGGAATCCAGAACAACCACAGTTCCTTGTTTGGAACTCAAACTGCAGTATCCAATTAAGTCCGTTGGAACACATGAACACCGTAAACCTGAATACCAACAATAGTGTTCTTCCAAATCTTCAAACATGCATTCAAGTGTGTTTGACTCGTTAACGTGTGAGGAAACGAGGGACCTACCGCAAGCAGTGAACCTTCCAAGGCGATCTGGAAGAAAAAACACATGGACGTCCTTCTTAGCGCCTACACTCAGCGGCGACTGAAGCTTCCCCCCGAACAAAAACAGCGTGGATCCGTTTGTCATGCGGTTGGGTCCATTCATGGCGGTTCGCCCCCGATTTCCTTCGGACCCCATTCTTTGGGGGATACCCAGGCCCATGCCTATGGATCCACTGCCACCCTCCTACTCGGTGAATGGAGACACTCTTACATAGGCATTGGAGGCTGGAGGGTCCAGTCGTACCTTCTGCAGACGGTGGATCCAAGGATCTCTATAGGCTATTAGAGATGTTTAGAGTGGTTCCAATGGGTTCCAGTCGTACCTTCTGGGGTGTGACGGGTATATTGGCTTGATACCTCTGGTCAGTCACGCTGGTCACTCACGCTGGTCGGACGACGCACGCGATGAACTCGGTCGCTGAGTCAGGTCGAGACACGGCACGGAACAAAACACACGCGCGACGACACGCCGGTGCCAACTGCTTGCGTCGATTGAGCCCGGTCTGCAACCGTTCAAGACCAAACGCATCCCTCTGTTCAAAGGCTGAATTCCGCAGCGATATCAAGGCGCAAGAAAATGCCAGAAAGCACCTATGGCACACCCACGTTCAACACATACGTTTCAATCCCCACCGACCTCGGATGCGGCCAAGGCGACGCCGTGGCCTGCGCCGCCCCCTCGGTAGACGGAGGTTTTCTTGTAGATTTGAGGAGGGCGGATGGCACCGGTGTCTTTGTAGACACTGCATTCCTGTCGAAAAGGAGCGCAAACGCTGATACAAAGTGAACAAAATACAAGATTCCTAAGTGACTGAAAAAGACACCATTCACAGGCAAACATCTAATTGAATATTATACATAAATAAAACAAGCGAATTGATAATATATTCAGAGTCCCCGTCCCACTGCGGATATGCTAGATGTTCGACCGAAACAGTCCACGAAACCCACAATCCGGTCCTCCTCGCACATGTATGGTGCCCGCGAATCGAGCTTGAATGAGACGCTGCCTTGGACCATGCCTGGAGTCACCACAGTTCCTTGGGCCGCCGAGACAACGAGGCTTGGAAGTCCATGCCCCGTTGGGTCAACACCGCGACGACCGTTGTTTTTCACGGTACGAACGATGTACTTGGCACGTTCCAACGGAAAGACGTCTCGTGTCTATAGGTTTCGTGAGATATCATGAGATCCTCTTAACACCATACTCCCGTGCAAGAATACTTGTGGTTCTTCCGTAGACAGAGTGAATAACCATTGGACGTGAAAGTTGAACTTGGCATATTCGGGGTCTCACCCACCGTTGGAGTGAACCTACCATTGCATCATTGCATGCTACATGGATGGGTGGAATTCTCGGGCGATGAAGAGCTGCTTGAAGTGAACCCTCACGGCAATTTCAACAAACTTGAGAACCACATCACAGTCCTTCAATTTCACTGATGGACAAAGCCATTGTACTTTTCCACCTGCGAGTCCAGCAAAAGCAGCGGGACAAATGCAGCCCTCTGGCAACAGGGGATTTCGATATATAATGTATGCAATGGCAACTCGCATCGCTGACCCATCAACAGGTACGGTATGTGACATGCAGTTATGTGAAAAAACATTGAAGAACCACGTATAGTTACTATACCCATACACTCCATGTATGCCATATATGCCTACCTTGGGGTGGTTTTGCGGGGTCAATGTAGGCATATATGGCAGTCCCATGTGTTGTGTCTGGGATATATCGTTCAACGCCTGAGTTCCTCAGCCTCTGGTCACGTTGCTCCTGTTGAGACCATCACGGTGTCCGCCGCACAAGACACGCGAGACCAGCAACACTCGTCCGGCGTCCACCCCACACAGCTCACTTTTTGGAAGCTTAATATACCCCTAGGGCTCCAGTCTGGACCCTCCAAACTCACCCCAAACACCTTCTCAGAAGGTACTTGGAGCCCCAGGGTACTGGTTCTGGATGCTTCTGGTAGTTATGGCACATCACCTCACAAGGAAGATTCATTGGTGAAGACTTCCAAACCAAAAGGGCTGATGGATGGAGTTCGCCCGCCGCCCGCACCACCAGATGCCGCACCCGACCGCCCGCTCCGGGTGATCCCCCTCGGCCGCACCGCTCCATGGCTCCGTCCACGGTCCACTTGCCTCGCTCCGTTCGGCCGTGTTTCTGCAGGGGCGCGGCGTTCGGTTCGGTTCGGTC